GTGGGGAGTGTGTGACCACCGGCGACGCTACCAATCTATTCCCAGTTGTCCACAGTACATCAATCTAAAAAGTATACTTGATTACATAATACTTCAATGTTAGTTAACTACAAAGTCCAATAGATAACTATCAAAGTATGTTATGAGTATATGTACAGTATGTATTCAGTCTATACCCGCTCAGGGTCTGGGCTGGGCTGGGCAAGTGGAGAAATTGAACCCCGACAAACAAGGACACTTAAACCTTTCTTTGTTGACTGCTGTACTTAGACAACGATGAATGATCATTATCATTCACTCCTTCACTCCCCCTTTCCTGTCTTAGTATTGTAGAAAGCATCGCATAAAGAGAAACACTGTATAGATAATAAGCCAAGTGAGCAGTTAGCACGATCAAATTTTATATGCATTAATTGATATTATCCTTCTCCCCCACTTCCGTTTTGAAGTACGAAGCAATAACTAGCAGGTAGTTGGTATATATGCCGTTATGTTATGTGGCACCTACTGTATGTATTGTACACATATAAGCGTTGAGATCCAACCAGGGATGATCATTGTGCCAGACAGAAGACTTTAGACAGGTCTAGGTATCCTAGAATAGACGGAAGATCCGCAATGAAAACGTGGATAGGTCGCGTGATTTCCAAAAACACTAGTTTGACTTACCTAGATAGGTAGTCCGCACTGCGAATGATTGTACTAATCCTGATATCCCGTTCCTAGGTAGGTGCTCCATTAGTAACCCAAGGCCAATTCCTTTCTTCTTATCTATTCTTTTCATTTCTGCTTTTACCACAAAAAAAAGTATACATTGCAATAAGTGAATAAACAAGAAATCAATAAACGATCTAAAATTAAAATTCTTAAAGAATCAACTGATAGCTACTCCGCCCTCCGCAATTTTAAACTATGGAGAAGAGGGAGGAAAAAAAGGGGAGTAGGTCAACTAAGGGGAGGAGGGGGGGAAGGAGGATAAAGAAAGAAATAGGGACAAGGTGGATGTTGACAATAGTAAGGACTATCTAGATATGGTAAAACCTGATAGACCGCGAGTCTGGAAGCCATAAAAAGACCCAAGTGGATCGGTCCCTTTCCCCCCAAGGGAACATTTACAGAAGAGACAAAATCTTTTCTGGTCACATGCGGTTCCGGAGTTCGGGCGCGGCAGGCAAATCAGTGATCAGGCCCATCCACGCCCGGGGCTGCCGAGATGCTGATTGGTGGGACATTCCTGATTGACGCTGCGACACCGTCATAGCGACCCGCCCCCATTATTTTCTCCTTCCAATCCAGCTCCTTCCCGGATTGAGCTCATGACGCAGCCTCCCCCAAATTTCAAAAGGTGGAAGGTTACCCGGCCCTGAATTAGGCCTGTAGAGTATGTAAATACTAATTCATTCCCATTCCTTTCCCCCGTACAAGAAACCATTCGAACTTGGCAGCTGATCCGGCATTCCTACATCCCTCGCATCCTTAACCTCGCCCTCTCCTCTCTCTTCTTCACTCTCCTCGTTCCTCACGAAATCCCTTTCCCATTCCCCATTCTTCCTCTCGACTCGTACCTGCCTCATTGCCTTCCTCTTCATACGTACGTCAGTATATACGTATAGTATTCTAATCCGTTTCTTTCCTCCCCTTCTCCGATTCTACACTTACCACTTTTCCTCGGGCAAGTGTCCCGTGTTCCTCTTCTTTATCTCTCTTTTGCCCTCCCCCCCAATTGACACTCACAAGTCAAAACATTTTCCGTGGAAGGTATGCCGCTCCAATTCTCCGCCTACCTTGTTGCGTATCGGTTACACCGCAGTTCTCGAGTCCATATCCGGCTGACTTTTGGTGTGTGCGCGTGTGTGCAGAGCTTTTTTTGAGTATAGAACATACAGCACGCGCTATAGGGAACCCACCCTCTAGTACCATCAATTCACCAATTCGCTCTAGCTCGCCAGATCCTATTTGCTCTGAACATTCAATCCCCTGGGTACAATGGCCTCCCGCCAGTCTCGTAGGATTCTGCGACCTCTGCTCTATACATCGCTGGCGGCTGCCACAGGAGCCGGAGTTCTCTACATCTCCTACCGTCCCCGCAATATCCCTGGTTCAGAAGCCCCCGCGGTTCCGCCGCCGGGCTACCATGAAGGCAAGCTCGTGCCTCCGAGCTTTCCCAATATTAAATCCCGCCTCGAGCAAATCCAAGACTTAAAGCGCTCTTCCGGTGGAAGCAACTCCGAAGAGTATGATCTGCTTGTCATTGGCGGTGGTGCCACTGGATCGGGAATTGCCCTTGATGCTGCCACACGAGGGTTGAAGGTTGCCATTGTTGAGCGGGACGACTTCAGCGCCGGAACGAGCAGCAAGAGCACAAAACTCGTTCACGGTGGTGTTCGTTACCTGGAAAAGGCTGTTTGGGAGTTGGATTACAACCAGTGAGTTTTCCCCCCCGCCCCTCTCCGATCTCTTGTTTGCGTGCCGACCGTGATATACTGAATGCCTCTCGTTCTACCTTAGGTACAAGCTAGTCAAGGAGGCTCTGAGAGAGCGAAAGTATTTTTTGAACACAGCCCCTCATCTGTCTAGCTGGCTTCCTATCATGGTCCCGCTACAGAAATGGTGGCAGGCACCCTATTTCTGGGCGGGAACAAAGTTCTATGACTACTTGGCTGGGTCTGAAGGCATCGAGAGCTCCTACTTTCTCACCAAGAGCAAGGCCATCGATGCCTTCCCTATGTTAAGGAAGGACAACCTGTTTGGAGCCATGGTATACTATGGTATGCAGTCTCTTTGCCCCACCCTACCCCCGTCGTTTAGATGACCCCTCGTTAACGGTGCGTCTACTAGATGGTGCCCACAACGACTCTCGAATGAATGTTTCGCTGGCGATGACAGCTGCGTTGTACGGAGCCACTGTTGTCAATCACATGCAAGTTACTGGCCTGGAAAAGGACTCCTCTGGGAAGCTGAACGGCGCTCGTGTCAAGGATCTTATCCCCGGAAGAGATGGACAAGAGGCGGAGGAGTTCACGATCAAGGCAAAAGGTATCATAAACGCAACTGGCCCCTTTACCGACTCGATCAGAAAGATGGACGAACCCGGCATCAAGGAGATCGTAGCCCCTAGCTCAGGTGTTCATGTGATCTTACCTGGCTATTACAGCCCTTCAAATATGGGCCTTATTGACCCATCCACGTCGGACGGCCGTGTGATTTTCTTCCTTCCCTGGCAAGGGAACACCATTGCTGGTACAACGGATCAGCCGACCGAGATCACCCCTCAGCCCCAGCCTTCTGAGAAGGATATCAATTGGATCATCTCCGAAGTCCGCAATTACTTGGCTCCAGACATCAATATTGAGCGGAGTGATGTTCTTGCTGCCTGGGCTGGAATTCGCCCGTTGGTGCGTGACCCTAAGGTGAAGAGTTCCGAGGCTCTGGTCCGCAACCATCTCATTACTGTCTCTCCCTCCGGACTCCTGACCTGTGCTGGTGGCAAGTGGACCACTTACCGGCAGATGGCTGAAGAGGCGGTGGATGAGGCCATCGATGTGTTCGGCTTGAAGGCTCGCGGTGTCACCGGCGCTCCGGATATCAGTGGTGTTGGCGGCAGTGGCTTGGTCTCCGACGGTGCTGTCCTTGACGGATCTTGCCAAACCCACCAGGTCCGCTTGATTGGTGCCCACGGCTTCTCCAAAACCCTTTTCATCAATCTCATTCAGCATTTCGGACTCGAGGTGGATGTGGCTAAGCATTTAACGGAATCATACGGTGACCGAGCCTGGCAGGTTGCGGCTTTGTCTTCCCCCACAAATGCTCGCTTCCCTGTCCGCGGCCAACGCATCTCCAGGCTATACCCCTTCGTTGATGGTGAAATCAGGTATGCTGTGCGCCACGAATATGCACAGACTGCCACCGATGTCATTGCTCGCAGAACCCGGTTGGCATTTTTGAACGCCGAAGCAGCCCTCGAAGCCCTTCCTAACATCATCGATCTCATGGGTGAGGAGCTTAAGTGGGATAAGAACCGGAAAGAATCTGAATGGAAGGAAAGCGTCCAGTTTCTATCTTCTATGGGTCTGCCAAAGGCTTTCCTGAGCATGACGCGAGAGGATGTCGAGGGTGGTAGAGTAAAGGATCTGGATATCGCACAAAGAAAGGCCTTTGCTCGGTCCGGTGAGTAGGACCTGCACTAGAACAGCTCATTCGCGACAGACCTGACTAATGAACTTTTAGATCCCCCAGCGGATGTGCTCAGTAGTGACATCCCCTCGTCAGATTCCAACAAGCTGATACACCCCGAGTCCCCGGCAAACAAATAGAAGTGTCTTGAGCTATAGAGTATTGCCATATGTATAAATATTTTCGATGTATCACTTTGATTCCATAATGTATGATGGGTCTGGTTAAAGATTTTCCTCGTTTAATTTTCTCTCAACCAAAGTGGTGATATGTCTCGGCTTCTCTATACCTAAGAATGGCGCCGACGGGCAATACTATAATGTATGTACTCGGCCTGCCTTGGAGTAAGTGGGATCATATAGTGAGATAATCTGAAACATGTCAGATAGAGGAGATATATACCATCTAGGCCTAAGATTTCAACCACGTTATGGTCAAGCCTTGAGCACTCAATGCATGTGGTGGTAAACATTTAACAACAGAAGGAAACAGATCGGGCAAGTTCATGAATGCGGACTGGTCGTGGAAGGAACGCCTGCTCGACAAGTTTATTTCTATCCACTTTTCTCAGGGAATGAGCCTTCTTCTACCCTAGATTGCAATAGTGCTTAAAAGTTCAGATTTCCTGCAACGAACGTACGGTTATTGAACGTCGTTTGAGGCTTTCGCCAGGGTATTACATATTAACCTCTTTGTCACAGTCCATACTGTACACTCACCGAATCATGACATGGCACTTTTTTCAGAGGCGTTCCGGGGTTGCGACCTCATGGCCGTGTGAGAATAGTCCAGAATTCTGGAAGGCAGAGAGCGACCGTCCTACTAGAATGTCCCAGCCACACAGTAACTGTGAGGGAGAGGATCTTTTCGGAGACGAGACCGGGCTGGAGGTGAAGTACAAGACATTGACTTGGTGGTGAGTGCGCTACGGGTCTCTGAGAACTACTAGCCACTAGGAGCTAATTAGCCTCCAGGCAGGCTGGAATGAGTGAGTAATCTCGATTGAAACATGCATGTTACAACATGGAGTCCTAAAGATACCAGTCATGATAGCAGAGACCATCTCTCTTGGAATTCTGACTCTCCCCAAAGTGCTAGCTATACTGGGTCTTTTCCCGTACGGTTTCCTTAGCCGAGAAACTAGCCATGATTCCTGCACAAGCTAAATTTCCGCAGTGGAAATTGCCGTTATCATTGGCGTCGGGGTACTGACGACTTACACAGGACTAGTCATTGGGGAGTTCAAGCGTCGCTATGCTCAGACACATAGCATGGCTGATGCCGGAAGCATACTGTGGGGAAGGACTGGCTTCGAATCCTGGGCGCTGCTCAGCTTATCTTCTTCATATTCATAATTGCTAGCCATATACTGACATTCTCTATCATGGTGAGCGTTCTCACCGGCTACTCGGGCTGTACAGTTCTATTTTCCGTGGCTGGAGGATTGCTTTCGATCGTCTTCACCATTCCACGACGTCTCGAAAGCCTGTCATTTCTATCGTCAATCAGCTTTGCTAGTGTCCTCGGAGCAGTTTTGGTTAGCATGGTTGTAGCATCTCTTAACAAGACAAGCCCTATCCAGAATCATTACCGCCTACTTTTCACGACATAATGGTTGCAATTGCAAACGTTGTGTTTGCGTATGCTGGACATGTTGCCTTCTTTGCCTTCTTTTTCAGAGCTCCGGGATGTGAAGGACCACCCCAAGGGCACTAGCGTTATTGCAAGTGAGTGAGGTGACGCTCTACATAGTGACGGCTATCGTATTATATGTATTGGTTGAAAAGGATATTGCTTCCCCGTCCCTCAATTCAGTCAGTCCACTTTCCAAGAAGATAGCATATGGTATCGCAATCCCAACGGTAGGCAGCCCAACCAAAGCCGTGCTCCCTTGTCGTTCAGCTGATCGCATAGGTCAGATCGTGATAGCAGGTGTCGTCAACGCCCATGTCGCGGTAAAATCGATATACTTGCGGATGTTTCACGGCAGGAATGCCATGCACTCACGTTCCTTCGGTGCAATATCCCTATGGGTCGCTGTATGCGCGACGCTATGGTTTTTGGCCTGGGTAGTAGCGGAAAGCATACCGGTTTTCAACGATATCTTGGGGCTTACGGTAAGTTCTTGGGACAAATGGGAAATAACGAAAAAAGAAATATACCCCCTTGGGCACAAAAGCAGCTGATCCCTATCCTGCAGAGCTCGTTGATTGCCAGCTGGTTTACGTTCAGTCTTCCAGGCGTGTTCTAGCTTTACCTCAATGTACCTGGGAGGCCTTCCAGCTGGAAACAGACAATGCTGATAGGCTTTAATTGCATCATGTCATCATCGGGCTAGTTATTGTAAGCTGGATCTACAGTTGTCACTGCTTACCGACTAACCGGTGTCGAGTGTATAGTTGGGGTGTACTCATCTATCAGATCTGTCCAAAGCAATCTCAGTGAAAACGCCGTTCGAAGGAGGTTCTCCTGTGCAGATAATTCATGACTACTGCTTGGGAAACTAGGTCAATCAGTCACGGCAAGGCCAGAAGCATGCCGCCTTGCATCAGAACAAGATAAGGAAGGTATTGGAAGCCGTGTATCTTATTCATAAAGTGCCGGACTATGAAGGGTAGCGCCGGGCAAGCGTGCAAACATCATTCCAGTCTGCTAGGACAGAGACTAGACTTGTGTGCCTGCGATTACCTTTCCACATTACCAGATTCTTACTTGCTTCTGCCCGTTTGCCCCTTTGGTAAACATTTATTGTTAGGCCCACTCGGAGGTTCTTGGTGGTGCCTTTCCTGCCTAGCAGTAAGTTGCTCAGGGACTTTCTGCTGGCAAAGCTATCGTGTCTGCACCTATGTACGCAAGATGTCCGGGACATACCCATGATTCGTTCTGCGGGGATAGGCGGCTTATTCTTGAACGATTGACGTGGGCGCATAGCATGTATATAGGTAGATACTGCTAGACAATATCATAAGCGGGCTCCATAGCACGTATGGTAGGCAGATATTTATAGCTAGTTTCTCTCGCGCGTAGGGCCCTGGCTACGTTACGTATGGTGCCTGAGCCAGTACTACCGGCATTGTTGATAATTAAGAGCGAACACGTACACTAGGTACACCTAGCTTGTATTACCATTCATTTAGCCGCTGAGGATGCAACCACCCACATGTGATACCCAGGTATGCTGTAGTTGGTAGCCGCTCGGGACCTAATAGGAACCAGCTAGTAGTAGCTCTTATTCAGTCAAGGAGAGCAAGAGGCACTTCCGGTACTACGCAACACTAGGTTGCTAGTAAGTACAATCATCCAAGGTACAGACTAATTTATACTGTTAGCCAGTTACTCGTAAGTAACCGGATCGCGGAAATCCACTGGTGCCCATTCACCCAATAACAAGGCCTGCGGAACCATGTCCGCGCGGGAGCCCGATTGGGATGCAACCCGGACAGCGGGAGTTCCTCGATTCGTTTAGATTTTATTTATATTTCGGGTTTAATTTTATTTCTTTTGTTCAATTTACGGCCAATTTCTGTAATTCTTTTCCCAGTTGGCCGCTTACCCCCCTCTCCCCGCCCCCACTTACCGGGGGTGGTATAGTGCATAACTGTAGTGTGTGGTACTTGACCGGGGGGAAGAGGGGGCGGGCGCCAAGGGAAACCCAAAACCCGCCCCAGAGGAGGTCATGGGCTGAATTTGAGTGAGGGAAAAGGGAAAAACCTGAAAGAGTTTGGAGGGACCGTCATCATTACCAGTTAAGCTGTTAGAAGCAATTAATTGTTGCATAGTATTCTCCGTGTTCATCAACTTTCCATCTTCGATTCTACTTCTAGTCATGCGTATATTTCGTTACCAGGTCTCGCTATGTAATATTCACCCATACTTCTTACTAACTTTAGAACATTTAGTACAAAGTATGTTCTATATGACTACCTTATTACTACTGTACCTACTAATTTGTATATAAGTTTCCTTTAGCAAACCATTGGCGCTCAGGTGCAGTAGTGAGGGCTTTTCATGCTTATGGCCTCGTGCAGAACTACAGCGGATCTAAGGTGTAGCTGCATGGCTATCGTACGCGGGAGCCTCTTAGTGTCATGTTAACAAAGGTACGTAAAGTAAACTAAATGCCCTCCGGAAGAGTCCGTTTCCCAACGACAAATCTCTTTTTCCGCTTTCCGCGTCAAGACTTGGTGGTGGTAAAAGTGCAGACGTGCCTTGCTTTTATTTCTATTTCTTCCCCCCTCACCCAAACTCCTTTCCTCATCCTCCTTCCTCCCCAGGAGCAAGCTGTTAAATGTACACCCGAAAGTAGCCTGGGAATGGCTACTCCGCTTCAGAAAGATGCCCTATGTGCTGGTCCCTGGCGCAGCTCACCGTGTTAGAATTTAGAACAGCACCACTTTGCTGGTGGTTATGTACGTGAGAAAACACGTCAGCCGAGGGACCTAGAAGTCCCCGTAGGGGTAAGTGCGGGGCACGGACAGGAGAGGGTCCAGGTCAGTGATGATCTCTCCCTGAGTTGTGATGATGAAACCCTTTAATCTCAAAAAGGATCCCAGAGCTTGTTCAATAAGCAGCAGATCGAAGAGCGGAAGAGGAAAAAAAGAAAAGAAAGAAAGACATGATAAAATCGGAGCAGGAAAATAGTGACAATTAGAAAAAAGGGGAGAGATAAAACAAAAGATAAATTGGTTCCATAGAAACCATACAGGAGATAGGCAAGAAATGAAATACGCAACATAAATGAGCATGAAATGCCATCGTTTGAAACTGGCAAATTTTTCGACAGTTCGGTCGTTTTTGACGGATACAGTCGAGACGGCTATACCCGTGTACTCGTCCGCTCGGGTATCGGACCAACCAGCTCGGACTTGGGGATCAGAATGCATGGTCAATCAATCGAACCTCGACAGAATGACTGGACATTAAAACTGTGACTGGGATTTCCCCCGAATCACGGATTTTAGAGGGCTCAAGATGCATATGTTGCGGCCATCGAGTTTCACTCCATCGCCCTCCTGTCACATCTCAGTTTCTTGTTTGTCTTAGGAGACGACGAGGTCGTTGACGGGGAATTGCTGAGCGCTTGCTTCTGAGCGCAAGATTATCCGCTTGATTCGACTGTCAAGCTCAATCATGGCTTGGCGCCCACAATTTTCTTTCTCTCTCTCTCTCTCTCTCTCTCTCTCTCCCTCGGAGCCTTGAGCCTGAAGGTGGTGTAGGCATAGGAACGGCTATTTGACGAGCGCACTACAGTCACTAAGTCTTGCTTCCGTTGGTGGCCTCGTCTGCGCTATGATGATTCCAAAACTGCTCCACGGCTCTTTTACACGCAGGCTTCCCTTTAAATTCTAAGATGAAGTAGTTGAACAAGGAGAATTCTTTTTGATTGAGCACGTATTCCGGCTCAGCCTGGATACGTTTCCATAGACTGTCGACGGAATCTTTGAGTATAGCCATCGTAGCAGCGTCAGGACCAGACTCGGACTCTCTGGCGCGGGCTAAGGCATTTTGCACTTCGGCAGAGGTTGGAGGTTTCACTGGTCCAGCCATCTGGGTTGATTGCACTTGGAGTTTCGAGGCAGATATTCGATCTCTTTGGTAGGTTTTTTTGTTGAAGGAAGTGTAGAAAAACGAAGACAGAAGAATCCCGCGGGTATTGCAGAATGCTGGATTGCTCAGGGAGGACAAGCCAGTTTAATGAATGAAGAACAAAGGGGTAGAAATAGAATGATCCCTGAGCTTCTCATCAAATTTTTTTCTGGCGGACTGTCTTTGGCAAGCTCCGACCTTCCCCATTTAACATCGTCTAGGTGGAGTAGGGGGTTTGCTGGGTAATCGTGGATCGAGTCTCTAACAAGGGAGAATAATACTAATGATTCAATCATAGTAAGAATAGCCAAATAGACTAATACATTTAGAGTAATTCTATGAACATGGAATAATATATTAATGTTGTTAAATGAATGGACGTGCTGGCGCCGGGGGAACATCCATGTTTGAATGTGTTTCCAGTTTTACCTTTAATACTACAGGGGTTCTTTCTCTTTTCTCTTTTTTTTTTTTTTTCCTTTTTCCCTTTCCCCCCCCCCATTTATTTATTTATTTTTTGTTTAATAAAAACCCAAGAAACTTTTCCTTTTTCCTTTTCAATTTTCCCGTTTTTCTCTTTTCTTCTTTTTTCCCCATCAATAATTTATTTTTAATCATCATCATCTTTTATTTGATTTTATTCTATTCTGCTATCTACTTCTTTTCCTTTCTTATTCTTTTTCTCCCCACCTTCTTCTATTCTTTTCGAGCCATTTTTTCCCATACTACTTACACAGTAAGTACTAACTACCAAAGCCTCTTAGTCTTCCATCCTCCCATACCCATTTTACCGCTTTTTTCTCCTTCCCTTCAAATTTCAAACCATTGGATGGGCTCTTTATGGATTGCGTCTGTTATGCAGGAGTGCCACTTCTGAAAAGTGATTAGTACTGATCGACTTGTGTCCATTTCAGCTTATCGAATTTGGTTAAAATTAATAGATCTGATCTGTTCCGAGTCCTCGTGCCTTGTGAAAGAGCCGAGAAAGGAAACAAAAAAAATAGAAAATGAAAAATATCCTATCGCGCAAAGATATCCGTTGATGTACTTAGTTCCGGAAGTCGTCTGGAGCACGTCGAACTTCAGTGTATGTATCCAGATACCTCAGGAAGGCAAGAGAAGCAGCAGTGGTGGGGATTCTATTTCTCTCGGTCACCCTTTTTCCACCTGTCCCTTCTTCTCTCCTCGCGTTCACCCTCTTTAATTTCCCTCCCATTTGCTCTGATTTGTATGGCCATGTGGCAGGTGGGGTTTCGTACGGGCTCACCCGCTGTAGCAGCTTCTAGTATTGAGCCCTTGGCGTAACGGTTTTCCTCGCGATGGGAAAAGTGTCAGATTCGGGCTCCACGGTAGGGTAAAACTAACTGGTAGGGTTGCGAACCTGGCCGAAACGAGCGGCTGCCGCTGGTTGGTGGTCACTAGTCGAGATTGGGAACTGGTTACGTACGGATCGGTGGTAGTCGTCCGGTAACTACGGGTAATCCGTCTAGGAACAGCCGGCGCTTGCACAAATCCAGCAACTGAGTGTATTTCTGTTCCGTGGATGGACTGGGTCTCGTTACGGAGTAAAATGGGGTTGAAAGTATCTGACTTCGGAGCCATCTTGTCTGAGGTCTACGTGGTTAGCAAGGGCGGAAAAGTTAAAAAAAAAAAAAAAAAAAAAAAAGACAAAAAACTTAAAATTCTGCCTAGCTCGGTTCTTCCGATTCCGTTTGGACGTTGTCCAGTGAGAAGAGATTTTTCGTGGTCATGTGTGACTGGCATTTCGGGGATATTGTCCCAACGTCACCAATCAAATGGGACTAAGAAGTAAGGTAGATCGAAATAAGGAAATAAAATATTCATGAACGTGTATAAGTTTTCCTTTTCTCTTCCTTTCTATCTTTCTTTTTATCTTAACTTTCAATTCTCTATATTTCATTATATATTTTCTCACTTACGATTTTCCTATCATGGGGGGATAATTGATAATGGGTGTGGATGTGGACTTGAAAGTTTCGGACAGCTTCCACAAATCTCAAAAGAGTTCAAACTCTCCGTCAACTGTGCTCTGGGACATACGTACGACTCGCCCACAAGTCCGTACGGTCCGGTGCATGAGCTGGGTGGGTCCTGGGTGGTTCGCTCCAAGGCGAATCAGTCGGCGGCGGTATGGAGTTTTAGGCTAGGAGGTGAAATGACTCGCATCTCTGAGAGGTTCGCTGTTGGGAAAAGGGCAAAACGGCAGTGTTTCGCTTCAGATGTACACAATGTGTATTCGCAACGTATACACCAGCAAGATCCCTTGAATCGTACCACAATCCTCCTATTGGTTAGAAAATATACATCAATTTTCCGTCAAGCACTACTTACTATTACTATGAGGTACTCCGTTGTAATTGCCCATGCAGACAGGATCCTGCGGCAGCAGCTCACCGATCCGGCTAGTCACTTACAGTAGTTGTGCTAGTACTAGTAGTACCTACCCGGCCCGTTGTATCGCTAAGACAACATTCATGTCCAACTAGTTAACATAGGGAAGGCTGAGTAACGGACCCTCGTTCTTCCTAAGATTACAACTATCCATCCATTAGAGCTATGATCGACTTGATCTATCTTTAACCAATCCATCCATTTGTTTTTATCCCCTCCTACTGCGGAAGCAAACCACCATGCCCTGGGTGTGTGCGCGCCTCTACACTTGATGCCGTGAGCCACCGTTTGTCCCACCCTTTCTCCCTGCATTTTGGTTACTTTTCGAATAGAAGCTATGCGCCAGGATCACCATACTGACACGTTGACACTGTATCTCCATCTCTGTCAGACAGATGTATGGCCGTTACAACCGGAAGCATGATGCTCCTTGTCTTTGCTGCATAAGCAAGCGCAGTATTCAATGTTATACACGGATATGAATGGTGTAACTATTTCTCACCTATCTGAGTCATCCGTCATTCGGACCAGCCTCTAACTATATCTTATGCCTGCCACTTGTCAAACCTATCTCAGGTGTAGGCTCACGCTTGGAATTCTAAGCCTATGGGTTACCGCCAGCGTCCGATCAAACATTCTATGACAAGAGTGGATTTTCCCGCCCATTCTGTGTAAATTCATCCCGGTACCCGACTGTATGCACGGAGTGTCCATGCCCACAGTGAATCTGTGGTGACAACAAGGGCATTGCGTCTCGACAACTCATTCCACAGGCTATGTTTGATTTTGATGGGCGACTGCTTCTAGGCTGGGTCAGCTAGCCAACCCCCTTGCCGCTGACGAACGGATGCGCCTTGATGAGCGCCGAGAATAGTTGACTAGCCTGAGAAGTACGCGCCAAAACCCAGGGAATATGAGTAGGGCCAGCGGTGCATCGGCCCCCATGTTCCCTGCTGTGGGCTCGTTGAAACACCCACTTAGTCTGTTGCAGCCTGTTGGAGTCCAGCGTGACACGCTAATCATAAGTGGAATACTCATCTACCAATCACTGCTGATGCAATATCTTTGGAGAGTGACAGGGCGACTTGGTCAGAGGTTCGTTGAGAGAGCTCCTGGAAGGGCACGATTCCTACATATAGACCAACAACGTGTAAGCAGTAGGCAGGTATCTCCTCTAAATTTGGACCACCAGAGTCCCTGTGCAATCACAGTATGAAACTCGGAAATGATACCTCTAATGGAGCAGCGAAGTGACTGGCTGCTAAACTAGCTACTCTGCCCATCTATACATAGTTAGCTAGTACTGAAATAGTCAAAGCACGCTTAACTTTACTACGGATACAAACATGACTAATCCGCATCTAGTTCCCCGCGCTCTCTGGCAAAGAAATCTTTCCACACACATTCGTCGAATCGCTTGAGGATACTGAATCTTCCCTTGCCGGACTTGCATTGTTATCGCGTTGCTGCTAATCTTGTCGTGCTGGCCCCTGATTAGAAGTCATCGTGACAAAATGGTATACTATTACACGTCAAAGGTCGTTGACCCCTCGGCTTTCATCTACGTTGGGAAAGATAAATTTGAGAGTACGACGACCATGTTCTAGTCTGGAACATGCGCATAGTCTGACGATTTTCGTGGGCAGATGAGGACCTTATAACACATGGGTTGGAGAAGGACGTCTGGTACCGTCACCCTTGCGCCGTCGCCGACTACCTTTCGCAAACAGCGTGCTGACGCTTGCATCTGGGTGTTTACCTTGTAGGGTGTGTTCACCACCCTGTTGTGCCAGAGACGCAAGAATCTAACCGGAGCATGATGCTACATCCAGTTCCACGTCGATAACTTGTCCAGTGCCCACGTATATCTCCGCCTCCGGGAAGGTGAAACATGGGACAACATCCCGCAGCAGCTGCTGGAAGATTGTGCACAGCTCACCAAAGCGAATTCGATCGAAGGTTAGCAATGACGACTGAGTAGCCGAAAACCACCTATGAGAGGGGAACTAAGTCGCAGAGCAGGCAACAAGAAGGACAATATAACCGTGATCTATACGCCATGGTCGAATCTTATGAAGGATGGATCTATGGCGACCGGCCAGGTCTCTTTCCACAATCCTAAAATGGTCCGCAAGGTCCTTGTCCGACAACGGGAAAACCCAATTGTCAACCGATTGAACAAGACGCGTATTGAAAAGTTCCCTGATCTCAAGGCGGAGAAGGATGAATATCTAAAGAAGAAGCAGAAAGAGGAACGTAAGGTAAGAGAGGAGCAACGATCGAGGGAAAAGCAGGAACGGAGGGAACGAGAACAGTTGAAGTGGCAGAAAGATCATGCCTATGATGACCTGATGAGCGAGGAGAACGTTCAGGCGAGCAACAATCAGGACCGAGATCCCGATTTCCTCGATGACTTTATGTGATAGCAAGAGGGTGAGTGCAGATCGGTCATTAGAGGAACAAGCCGGATACTCGGATTTCCATGGGCAGTTGCTTCAGAGCTACGAATCGCAACAACGTCGTGACATTTGTTAGAACGGCAATTGCGACTTGTGTGATCGATGGACATCCTGGGCACATCATCGGGCGTAGTGGTTGGGGTCAATATGCGGTGACCTCACTGAATGGAGGACCCTACAATAGACTGGAAAGATTTATGAATTCATATGCTAAAATATACGAAGAAGTCCACGCGAGAAGCTGCTCGATATGGCATGATATACTTTGTAGTGGTCGAAGTCTTGCGGCCTATCCCGTAAGGCGCCGTGGAGGTGGTTCTGCGTACCTAAGCGAGAGCTGCGGACGGCGGAAGCAATCTCCCTGCGCTAGCGATGTTGACAGCTATGGCCCCTACCTCATAACGACACGCAAGCCCGTCCGGCGCAGTGACCATCGCAGCAGCCCTAGAACGAAACGCCTTCCTCCTAGGAAGTCGGAAGAAGAAAAATGCCCGAAGGTCCGTTTGTTGATCGCGCCTCCCTACGTTTCTCCTAATTTCCGGTGTTCCTTCGTGCTCACGATTGACCATTGTCAACCAGGCGCAAAACAGAAGAACAAGAAGAAGAACAAGGGGGCTGCTAAGCCCAAGGAATTAGATGAACGCCCAGAAAGTAGTTCCAATAAGGAATCACACGAGACGTCGGAGGCCATGCAACACACTGTAAGGACTCCCGCATAAACATAGCCTCGAAGACCTGCGGGCACTAAATCTGGATCATGCGATGTGCAGGGTGATACAAACACGGAGAAGAACGTCGAAAAAACAGATGACGAAATTGCCGGAAATGAAAATGGGATTGAGTCAACTATCGGCTCGACAAAGGAGGCTACGGGGAACCCGGAGTCCTCCGTCGCTCACGATACGGCTGAACCCGAGGAGGACGCGAATAAGTCTGGCGGTCCTGATATTCAACAATCGAACGAACGGCTTGAGGCCCTTGTGAGAGATCGTGATACGTTGCGCGCAGAGGTGACCGATATGCGGAAATCGTTGGAGGAAATACAAACCAAACACCATGCAGACATGGAAGCTCTGCAAGAGAGACTAGATGACGCTGAGAGCAAGAAGGAGCATGCGGAAACGCAGTTCCAGAAACTCTTGGAAAGGGTGAATACGATCAAGTCCCAGCTTGGAGAGAGACTCCGGGAAGACGCAGTATGTTATACCGCCTCAAGTCGAACCTCCGTTCACTCTTGACTAAACCTCGGATAGGAAGAAATTGCGCAAGCGAGATCGAGAATCGAAGAGCTGGAAGAGCAGAATTCGACCTTACAGGAGGAAACCCAACACAAGTCTACTGAATTAGAGCAACTATCGCAAGCAAACAGCGAGATGTCGAAAGAGCTTTCAACATTGCGGGACCGCACAAGTCTATCACAACAAAATTGGCTTAAGGAGAAAGAAGAATTGCTTGAACAGGAAAATTACCTACAATCCGAGTTTGAGCAAGCTAAGGAGGCCATGCATAACTGGGAAGTGCTGGCAATGGAGGAGCGGTCAGTCAGAGAAAGCTTGGGAGAGAAAGTTGTAGATCTAGAGGAACAGCTTGCTACCGTGAAGGATGCTTACGAGAAGACTGCTGCCGAACGTGATTCCCAATTGGCCACTGTGGATGGGCTGCAGCGTGCGCTACAAGAGATCCAGACAGGTGAGAGCATAATCGTGTGCAAATGACGACTGCAGGTGCTTACAAGGCAATAGCACGTAAAAAGGAACTCCGTGAGCTTGTGGAAAGCTCCGATGCTCAGCTAGAAGAGTTGAAGCGGGCGCTTCAAGGCGCAGAGGAGAAAGCCTCAAAGGCCGACAAGGCTCTCCAGGATGCCCAAACAGAGCTTGAGCGGGTACGGCCGTTTGAGAAAGAGGTCAAGGAAAAGAACCTCTTGATTGGGAAGCTCCGACATGAGGCAGTAACGCTGAACGACCACCTGACAAAGGCCCTGCGGTTCCTCAAGAAAGGCAAGCCAGAGGACAATGTTGACCGGTATGTCAGACTTTCGCCAATGAGTCCAAATCTTCCGAATAACACTGCTTACAAGCTGCTATAGTCATATTGTCACGAACCACTTGTTGCATTTCCTTGCTCTCGACCGGTCAGATCCCAAGAAGTTCCAGATCCTGCAGCTTATTGCCGCCCTCCTAGGCTGGTCTGATGGTGAGCGAACCACACTGGCGCCTGATATATTTCTACATATACAGTGATGCTGACAATACACAATAGAGCAACGTGAGCAGGCAGGTCTGGCGCGTCCAGGGGCGTCTAGCACGTCTAGCAAACTGAGGGTGCCGAGCACTCCCGTCCACCGCACGCCGAGCAGCCAGACTTTGGCAACGGAATTTCTGGATAATGGGAACTCTAACAAAGAGTCGCTAGCGGAGCTGTGGTCCAATTTTTTGGAGCAGGAGTCGCAGAGTGCCGAGCACTTACCACCAAAGCCGTGAAATAGAGACACTGTGGCTGCTGTCACTGCTGCTCAGAATTCGACCAATCCTAAGTAGAATCCGGGCAGATGCGGGTGTTTTCTTTAATAGGTTTTACGATAAGCAGGCTCTTATCAGAATATGTATTCGCCATCACCTTGTCCTAATTTTATATATCTTTTCCTAAAACGGCTGGCGTTCCCCCACCGCCTCTGGTTCTGCCGTAACGGTACCACCCAAAGTAACGGCAAAGCACCGACATCCCACCTCCGGCTTCCCATACATATACAATTAATTCATGCATTCTTGCCTGTTGAGGCCCCGTGCTCTTTCCTATTCGAAGATTACTCGTACGCCTTCGGCAGTCCGCTCCTTAGTGTTGACCATGGCTACCAGTGCTGGTGCGTCTTCTTGTGTCAGGAAAGGTTGACTCAATCAATATCCTGACCATGACTCCCAAATTAGTGCACAAGTTCCGTCCGGTGGTGGTGTCCGGTCCCTCAGGTACAGGAAAATCGACTCTGCTGAAGCGACTGTTCGCGGAGATTCCTGATCGCTTCGGTTTTTCCATCTCGCGTTCGTTCAACCTCCCCTGATTGTCACCCCGTCAGCACGAGCGCACTGTAATCTGACCTGGTGTTTTGCGACAATAGATACCACTCGTGCTCCTAGACCGGGTGAGCAGGATGGCCGCGAGTACTACTTTACGACAAAGGAGGACTTCTTAGATCTTGTGAGCAAGAACGGCTTCATCGAGCATGCGCAATTCGGCGGAAACTACTACGGCACTAGTGTGCAAGCGGTCAAGAACATTGCGGAGCAGGGCCGTATCTGTATCCTTGATATCGAGATGGAGGTAAGGAACCGTTCATTCTTGTTGCCGGCGAAAGTGATGCCGTGATGCATGTTATAAGCGTTCAGAGAAGATGCTGATAGCATTTTACTGGAATAGGGAGTCAAGCAGGTGAAGCGTACCGATCTCAACGCCCGTTTCCTTTTCCTGGCGCCCCCCTCGGTGGAGGAGCTGGAGAAGAGATTGCGCGGGAGAGGCACGGAGACTGAGGAGAGCCTGACCAAGCGTCTCGCACAAGCCAAGAACGAGCTCGAATATGCCAAGGAGCCGGGGGCTCACGACAAGGTCGTCGTTAATGACGATTTGGAGAAGGCATATACGGAGTTGAGAGATTGGATCGTTGATGGTGGAAACTTCGGTGCGTCGCAATAGTCGGTTACAGACAGTCTGATGCTGCAGTGGCCATTGCGCGTTTTGATTAGTATGGAGTTTTAGACCATGTGATTCCCATAGATTTTACTGTGCGAAGAACAGTAATGACTCATTGTTTCGAACCAGCTATATTCTCCTGGCGATGCGCAATTAAGGGAATTAAGTACAGGAAATGACGAGACGACGCTTAGCGCTTTCGTTGCTAGCTCTTTTCGACCTGGAATAACCAATTCATATGAAACAAAGCAAGACGAATACCCCTCATTCAATGGTGGAGAGGATAGGATAAGCACTAATACGATAAGGAAAAGCCTGAAGTTAAAGAGGATATCTGTAAGAACATGCCGATAAGAAGGTGGTGCAGTAAAATCAAAACATGGAAAGAAAAGCGACCCTCAAGACTGCATTTCTGGGCCTTTGATGAATCGCGGATACATGGCAATGGATCGTTTCAAACGGTCGCTCCACGAGACTACCGCCATCAACTGGTTCTCAGCCAAATTAATAACCGTTCATAGTCATGCGTTGCGAGTTGCGGCTGAGCTCTCTGTCCGCCGAAGGACTGATGGGACGGCTGCTACCGGGGTGGCTCCCAGCGGCACTGCTTTCCTTCAGTGCTAGCAGCTGCTTGGCACGGAAGGTCTCATAGTGGATCTGGCTGGTCGTCTCGATAAGGTCCTGCAGATGAGTGCGAGTGAGGAAGTTCCTCAGGTAGACGAATTCACAGTGGTTCTCATCCTCCACATTGATGACACCCCAGCGGTTTTGACGTCCGCGAACCTGCTGGCCATTGACAACGATGGTGCGTTCGCTACCCACAACAGCAAAAGGAATAATGTCCTGGACCGGCGTTAGAGGCAGAGATAAACCAAATGTTGTGCAACAATGATTCGCGTACCTTGATCTGAACGTTGACGGCACGCTCTTCATCATCAAGTTCGTCATTGTCGTAGGGGTACATCTTCAAGTTGTGGAAAGCAAACTCTTCCTTGATTCTCTCCTTGAATGCCTGACGCTCTTCGAGGGTAAGGGAGTCGGCCTTGGCGATGACGGGAACAACGTTGACAACGTCCGATAGCTTCTTGAGCACAACGATATCAATGGGCTTGAGACTGAATGAAAGTAGAGTTGGTTAGCCTCCCGAGGGAAGTTCTCGGTGATGAAAGCTCGATGAGACTTACGCATGGCCGGACGGCTGGATGAAGAACAGACAGCAATGAATACGGGTATCCTGGATGTACCGGTCACGCTGAGCGGTAAGCTCCTTGCGGAGGTATGCGGAGTGCTGATCCTTGATGTATTTCACGATGGGATCCCAGCTAGTAGTACATTAGCTCGGTTACAGATGTTGCGGGTTAATATCTATTACCATCTGTCGTTGTTGACCTGGTCACCGTATCCAGGAGTGTCAACGATGTTGAGACGCAGACGCACGCCGTTCTCCTCAATGACTAAAAACGAGGCGGTTAGCTCTGCCAGGAGCGAAACGGCAATGGCGTAGGAATTCATACTATGCGAAACGGTCTGGATTTCGGTGGTCGAGCGGACAGGTTCGTTGGGGGTCATGCGACCCTTGGAGTCGATAAGGTGCGAAGCAAAGATAGTGTTGATCAAAGTGGACTTGCCCAGACCCGTCTGGCCTATTTCGTCCATGTTAGCAGGGAGGGAAGGGGCTCTTTTTTCTCGGACATGGTAGGTGAAAGAGTCGACTCACCAACGCACATGACATTGAATTGGAATCCACGTTTCAACAGCTTGCGCTCGATCTGGGAGGTGATGCTGTCGAAACCGACGTGGCTGCGAGGGAAGACCGTCGCGGGATTGGTGGAAGACGAATTGGCTGCGGCTGCCATTTTGAAGAAGGACGCTTGAAGATGATAACGAGAGAGGGATTGAGAGCAAACGAAGGATGGTATATCTATCAGTCGACGGGCGTCCCAAGGGGTGGGGAGATGGTTGGTTAGAGAAGGAAAGGTGAAAACGAAGACGAGGTAAACAAATGGGGAGATTGGAGAGGAATTGACAGCGAAAGAAGAAAAAAAAGAGGGGGGCAGCCCACCAAGTAGTAGTAAGGAAGTAGTAGATCGAGGAGAACAAGAGCAACGGCGATGCCCAAGCGTTTTCGAGCGAGGGAGGGAGTGGAAGACAGAACAACCGGGGGCCCCTTAAAGCTGCGTTGCTCTGGCCATCCAACCCAAAAGCGGTGGTTGCGACTCAGGGGGCCCGCTATTCCCCCAACGGATTAGCGTGTCTCCAGACCCCAAATCGGTGGAAAAGCTTCAGAATTATTCAATTTTATGCCGCCGCCTTGCCAGCCATTTCGCCCAATTCTCTCCTCCCCAATCTGAGCTCCAATTCCTGTCTCAGCTCTTATCGGCACCTCCCGAATTCTGGCTCTACGACTCCTTCCCTCCACCATGTCCGCCCCCATGCTCTCGCGACGCCTCCTGCTCACGGAAACCGTGTCCTCCGCCGCCGCCGTAGGACGGTTGTCTCGTTTCGCTATCAATGCCTCCGCCTGGTCTCCCAACTGGCTTAAGCCCGCCGCTATTTCCTTGAGTATTCCCGGGATCATGGAGGGCCTTTGGGACTCTGTTCTCCGCGCCGTCCCCAAGAAGAAGACTTCTCACATGAAGAAGCGTCATCGACAAATGGCTGGCAAGGCTTTGAAGGACGTCAAGAGTCTCAGCACATGCTCCGGATGTGGCCAGGTGAAGCGCTCGCACGTCCTGTGCCCCCACTGCGTCGAAAGTAGGTGCAAAATCTCTGCGATCCCGTTTTCATCAAGCCATTCTCAGCGACTGATTGTGAATTGTCCTTTAGGTATCAAGAAGCAATGGAAGCAAACTCAGACGGCTTAAAGAGCGAAAGACGGCGAGATATATGATGAAAAAAACGGACAGATTTTTGATTTGCATTTGGGGGATTGTATTTTTACCTGGTATTTCATGAAGTGTAGGATAAATGCTGCATGGCATTCGGCGTCTGGCACAGCCTGAGGGTTATCTATATTAGTGTTGTTATTTTTATTTTTCAAAGTTATGCTGTGACCATTTTGTATATTTGTATATTTGTATATTTTGCCAGATATCAATTAAGAAAAAAGAATTAAGATATTTGCATGTCATGTCTCAATCGCATTGACTCAGTATATTTAGTAGGGTCGGGCAGAGGATGTCAGTCTTCCATCGAAGGCCCGCTGTAGTGGTGGGTGCCATTGGAAACATGATCTCATTCGGCCGCCAGCTAGTTTGTCCCGCCATGATCATCAACTCGCGTCCCAAACAACATTCGTACTCCTCTCAACAACCATACAGCGTGCTCAAATTTGCCTGGGGCCTACTCTGCCTAGGCATATAGGGCTCTGGTCTAAGAATGGTAATGTTTTAACATGGAGAACCATAACGCTGTTTAGGTACTTTTCTAACTGGGGAAACGATTGAGTTTAGTCGAAACAATACCTCTCTTGCGGTTCTGCAGACAATGGTTCGTATATCTTAAATGACTCCCTACAAACCCTGGCATATACTAATATCACGACCAGCCCACCCCGTTGATATCTTCGCACTGGCCGTGACTGACAAGCAGATCTTGTCGGCCTCGGGTACTTCTTCCCTCAAAGTTCACTCCACTACAGATCCCGATTTCCCGCTAGTACAGTCTATTGACGGTGCCCATAAAGTCGGGTGCCATCATGTGGTTACTAACGGAAATGGTTCGAGGGCCGTCAGTATTGGCTTTGGCGGTGAAATCATGATTTGGTCTTGCCATGACGGAGTCTGGGCAAAGGATGGAGGAGCGTCTGGTAAGTACCTTAGTACTCCGCTGTGTCAGTTTTGTGTCTGACCGTGACCCAGTCAACAAGGCAACACCTGCGGATGTTTGGGCCATCGCTTTGTCCGAAGATGGTCAATATCTTGCCGGTGTTACGCAAGATGGTCATATCAAGGTGTGGGATCTGGACACTAATGGCGAGGAAATCCGAGACTATGAAACCAAAGGTAGCTTCGGCACCTGCATAGATTTGGTAGGTGAAGTCTCGTCCACTTCTGCCACTGTTGGTGTCTAAACTCATGAATAAACTTTTTAGTCCGCGGATGGCCGCTTTATAGCAAGCGGACACGAAAATGGTAGTGTTTACATTTTTAGTACAGAAAGCGGACGCATGCCATTCAGCCTATCAGGTGCGTACTTTGTTGTGCTAGCTGAGTACAAAAGAAGCAGACAAAAGTGCCGAGTGATTGTCTAATATGTATATATAGGCTTGGTTAAACCTGTACGAGCCGTTGCATTCTCCCCAGGGGGGAAATTTCTTGCTGCTGCTGGAGATTCCAAGGTAATTGTGCTTTATGACACGTCCTCTGGTGAACAAGTGGCGAGTCTCTCGGGGCACACCGCATGGGTCATGTCGCTTTCGTGGAGCCCCACGGGGGAGTATCTTCTCAGCGGGTAAGTTGCTATGCTTTTTTTTTTTCATGAGGATGCTATCTAACGTTAAAAAGGTCGTTTGATGGAAAGGTCAAAGTTTGGTCGATAGACACAAGAGCATGTGTGGCAACCCATTCCGAAACAGACAAAGCAATTTGGAGTGTCAAGTGGCTGGCGAAGATCGGAAGATCAGTAGGATTTGCCACGGCTGGTGCAAACAGGAGCATATCATTTTACCGTGAGGCCACTGGTGGTTAGTGCATAGGCCGGGTGCGAATCAACCAATGCCTTTGTTGTACGAATTCCTTACCAGCGAGCTACTCGAGGCATCTTCCTCAGTATGCTGAGACGAAGGAAGCCTCTATAAGTGACCTTTTGCATTGTCTGAACGGAAGCCTTGAAATAGTAGGACTTGATTCCAAAGAGAAGCAAACACAGGTATTGAAACATTAATCATTATTTGGTATTTCCAAAGCGGAAGTGACCTTCATCTCCTCCCTATTTCATTGTATCGACGAACAACTTTCGCATTCTTTTCAAGAACGCACCAAAGTCGCGATCCTCATTGACAATATCGAGCTCCCGCTCGAGAGCCTCCCGATCGAGTTTTGGTCGTGTATGAAATACTGCGTAATCGCGGCTCCCTGTGCCGAGTTCAAACCACGCTTCCGCTTCCCAGTCTTTTTCGAGCAGATGGGTGTACACAAACTTTAGTCTATCCTCCCGTCCGGCTCCCTCAATGCGTAAACACAGGTAGTCCTGCCAAAAGTCCAACTCCGGCACATTCAGTCGAGCTTGAGCATCCAGATACCTGGCGTGCATCTTCTGCGCCTCCAGCTTCTGGTTGATCGCCTTTTGGGTCTCGTCGATTTGTTGCTTGAGGCGGTCGCGCTTGGCGAGGCGGGAGTCACGTTCCAGGGTCACGGATGAAATGGCGGCGTGCATTTCCGCTGCTTCAGCGGCTTCCTTCTGTAGTGTTTGTTGGTGCGTTTGCGATTTGAGGTCCAGGATCTCGATATCCCTTTGCTTCATGCGTTCATCCTCTATAGGACCTGTATTAGTCCGATGCTCTAGCGCCATCTCCAAAAAGCGATAGCTTACCCTGTAGCTCTGCCAATCCAATCTTGAACTGGTTCCTCTCCTCCAATACCTGCTTGCGGCCTCTCTCGATGAATGCATCAAAGCGAGCAGTAAACTGTGCCATGCGATTCCGGAGATCCTCAAACCCAAAGTTGATACTGGGGAGTGAATCCGCCATGGATGGTGCATCGGCGGACGCGAGAGGCGGGCGCATGCCACTTGTCGAGAGCGACGGATCGAAAGATGAGCTCATGGTGTATCTAGCTTGACGCTTTATTGGTGCCGATGTAGTTGTAGTCTGTGGGGATTGCGATATATGCGATGCGGGGGTGATGATGGTTATTGACTTTATTTCATGTTCTCGAGCGCGCCGCTAAAGCGCGGTGTTGCGGCGCAACCGCCGGGCTCCAGACTAACGAAAGCTTGGCATCGATCTATCACCCGTTTTTTTTCTTTTGCCTGGTCTTTGCTTCACGAGATAATCCAATGTTTCATTTACCCTTGCGCATGCATGAATTATGAATTGACAGCTGTCAGAAGCAGTTGCATTTGAGCACACTGCCGGGAGACTCGTCTACCAGTCCAGAAGCTGTGACCAAGACGCGTTGTACTTTGGTTCTCGATATGCCCACGGTTAGAAGGCTAGAGTTAGCGCATATCGCCAGGAGCAGAAACAGACCTGATGGATGAACACTCTGTGGGTGCTCTGCAATATGGGCATTTAGGGAAACCAACGTACAATTCAGAAGCTCACACATGGGTCTTTTCACGAACATTAACTCCATGTAAGTGGTTCGAAAGATCGACGCGAGCCGGTTCGAAAGACTGACACCTCCTGGAGCTTCATGTATCTCTTACTCCGGCGTGACCAAAGTTACGGTTCAATCGTCCCTCACTGCACTGCAGTCTTCCTCAACCGAGAATAAGGGCTTTTTGCCTCGCGCCTACCCCCAGCTTGCAGCTTGCTGGCCTCTAGTCGACAACGAAACCGTCTCTCATGCTATCACTGGCTGCGACATATGTGATCCTTCAATATCGACGCTCTTTGATTTAGGATATGCGGTCGATCTCGAAAATAGCGATTCGGGAAGCCGAGTTATACCTATCGCCGTCATAGCATCCGGAGAGTGCGGCAACACTGTCAGCTTTCGAAAAATCGAAGACGATGTTGTGGAACTCCGACGGAAGACGACTTCCTGGGCGCGTGTTCCTGCAATTGGACAGACGGAGACCGTTGAATGGTCGCCGGGAGGGGCTCCTGTCCGTCAAATCTGCTTTGCGCGGACGGTTGAAGATAACGCGACGTGGATGGCAGCTCGTTTGCCCCGCTCGACTACCATCTTCCGACCACAGTATCACCGAACGCCAGTGCCTGTCATAGGATTGCATGGGAGTGACCACCAATTTCCCGACCGTTCTATCAAGTCTCGCCTGGATGCGAACCCATTGGTGGAGATACCAATCCAGCGGACCGGAGGCTTTGCGCATGCGGACGTGACTTTCAATCCCTGGTATCAGAAGCAGTTGGCTATTGTTGATGAACGAGGTCATTGGAGTGTTTGGGAACTTTCCGGCCGACACAGGCGCAACAAGGGTAATTGGACAGCTGTGTCTGTCAATTCTGGCTCATTGCCGTGGCTCGATCTTGGAGACGGCCAAGACATCGATGACCACCCTCGCCATGATGGATGGGCTGCTATTGAATGGGTCGGTGATGTTAACAGCTTTGTCGTCTCTGATAGACGCTGCCCAATGCTCTATCGCATGGAAAGCGGCGACGTTTTTCCATATACAATTGAGCTTGGCCTTAAGCGAAGATCAGAGTGGATTCTGGACATTAAGAGAAGTTCTGCCAACGTGTCGCACGTTTTCATTTTGACGACGACTCGAATATTCTGGCTGGATTTAACATCATGCCCTGAACCGAGCAGTGCAACCGACAAAGACTCACGACCGCCTCTGTTACCCCGTTTGTCCTGGCGCCATTTCCGTGATCCCGAGGACACCACATTGCGACTGACTCCTCTACTTGTGCGGGAAGGTAGCTTGATGACCGCAGATCTCTCCCTTTCATAGCACATGTACTGATACTCTCGATAGACTTTTACCTCGTTGTATACTCGCGCCTTAACAATATTGCGCTGACCTTGCAATGCCCATCTTCGTCCCTGGACCAAACGGATGTGACATCGATACCAGACCCCTATATAATGGAGATCCCATTGTCATCTCCTGACACTGAAGGCTCTCGACACTCTAACACGCAGCTGACAACACTGGTCTTCAAGGAAATCACACACTTGCCATCGTCAGTCGGTAAACAATATCACGAACCTCATGTTAGACTCATAAAGCTTTTTGCGGTAGACTCAGGCCTTACTGTCCGCGAATCAATCTACACGGCACCCTCCCACGATAGTTCCCAGGATGATGAACCAGCCGCAAGAGATGTCTTACGAGTGAAGAAAAGGCATCAAGGAGTGCAAAGGTCTCAGTCGACTTACTTCGAAGATCGTTTTGTAGTAGAGGACTGCGAGGAATCCATGCTGGGAAGCGGTATGCTCACAACCGCAGACACTGGGATGTCTAGCATAACGCCACGTGCAATCCCTGAATGGTCTCTCGACTACACCCAAGTCTACGCTGCTGCTACTGGAAGGTTAACGCTGTCATCGCGAGAAGACGACCTAGGTAATCAATTTTTCGAAAGGAGTTTTGAGGAGGCTATGCAAGTGCTAAGCGAAATGGCGACTGGTGCTGGGGTGAGCAACGACCAGACATGTCGCACAGGGTAAGTAAATCTACTGCTATATACCGACTATCTTTTGCTGATGTTCCTAGTCTTGAGGCCCTTGGCAGTAGTCCCATGCTTGACAGTGTCGAACAGAACTCGCGGAGGCTCCGGGAATTTCTCTCCAGCAACCATCTAGCTCTCTTAGATTGGAAAGCTGACCGCCAACCGTCCGGCCATTCTAGTCCACTTCTCGTTCGATCGGCGGATTTCATATACGAGGTTTCGGGATTGGACCTTCCTGCAATCTATGATCTGCTTACCAATGACTGGCTGGGTGGCCTGCCTCACGATCTTCCTGGGCGCACAAGATTCACGAAAGAGAAGATCATCCGTGGAGTTGTCGCTGATCTGATTTTGGCTCAGATACGCATTAGAGTTGGGACGCTTTCCGGGATTGATAAATCTGATGACAGCAGGCGGATTAACTCAGGGGATATTTTATCATCATCAATGATTTCGGTGGATGACCCCTTCGATGCATCGAGCTCTAGAAGTGCGAGGCGGGTGTCTCAGCGACCGGCCTGGACAGGCAACGGTAGCTTTGATGATCCAGGCAGCGGCACGACGCCTGGAAGCACTCTTGGTCGCGAGGAACTTGAGACTGAAAGCCTGCGGGACATGGAACCTACATATAGCAGCCTCTCAGCATATACTACCTTTAGTCGCGAGCGGAATATGCCTCGAAAAGTGGCGAGCATGTTGGGCCATTGGCAACCAGGTGCCGACCCGGCTGGGTACAACTGGCAGAGGGCAATGCAGCTCCAGGGGACCGAGGAGTCGCAATCAGCATCTAAGGCAGCGACACCAAAACGTCGTCAACGCAAGAAGACTCCATCAACCCAAGGAACCACCACTGTGAATAGTGGGAATGTATCCGCACCCGCACCAGCCCCAGCCCCGATGACTTCTGTTACTCCTGATGTGCGGGGGTGGGGAAGTCAACCAGAGCACAATGAGGCGCCTGTTCTCAGACTGCAAAGCAGTCAGGTTATCGAGGACGATGTTCCGATGACACAGATCGAGCGGGGCGCATTTGGTGGCCGAGAAGCTGGGCGAAAGAATGTAATGAAGGCACGCAAAAAGAAGCGCGCGGCCGGTTTCTAAAGCAGCCCTGATAGGTTATTTATTCATTCAAATGGAATATTAGTTAGCATTCAAGCTACCCTGAATAGATTAGTAGATGTACAGTTGTAGCGGCTTGATTGGTAAGACAATGAGCGATTTCTGCGCATTCTTTGCCCCGCCTCGGGATTGCGATATCCAACCCTGGGAAGTATAAGAACAACGCGACGAGGTTCATTTCATTCCTCAAGCACTCTTTCCCATTCTCTTTCCATCTCGTCGTCTATAGACTACCTACTCCCAGAAACTACTTGATAATCGTCGCTGTTTGCTGTGGCAGTTTACACACCAGCTGTTGTCTCAACTCGAAACGCCCATCGATCGACGTGTCTCCACCCCTCTTCTCCTTGCTTTAGCCCCGCCATCGTCATCTCTATCTTCCCTATTTACTTATTTGTTCATCCACACACTACACACCACTTATTTGCTCTCTCTCTCTCTCTCTCTCTTTCACGTACACACGCCGCCCGCCAACACCATGTCCGACCACCAATACAAGTTCAACGTCAGCATGAGCTGCGGCGGTTGCTCCGGTGCCGTGGAACGAGTCCTGAAGAAGCTTGAGGGTATGTTTCTCTTCCCCTACTTGTCAAGGCCCCCCAATACTGCTCTCTACCCCCCTTCTTCCTAGAAAATCGTCAAACAGAATAACAAGCAAGTGCACTGAACGGCTTCGCTGACTCTCCTCCTCCGCAGGTGTCAAGTCCTTCGACGTCAACCTGGAATCCCAAACCGCAATCGTTGTCACCGAACCTTCTGTGCCCTACGATACCGTGCTGGCTACGATCAAGAAGACTGGAAAGACGGTCAACAGTGGAGAGGCTGATGGCCAGACCATGAGTGTCTAAAGAAAGAAAAGAAAAGGGAAAACGAAAAAAGAAAGAGCAAAATCAGGAAATCATATGGAGCCCGGGGTTGGCCTTGTGAAGGTGACGAAGCTTTCGTCCGAAGGGGACAGTGTTATGCATGCATATATTGAAAGAATGGGAGAAGGGGCTACTGCTTTGGGTAGTGTTGCGAGATACCCTGATATTCCTGACCTGCTGCTGCTGTCTGCAAGGTTGTATATAGCGCAATTATTTGACTACGTTCGTATCGGTTTGTGATTGACCTTCGAGGGTGATTTGTTTGTCTGTCCGCTGCCTGCGCAATGTGTCTGCTAACGCTGTGGCTGGTGATGACGACGACTTCTGCGGGTATACGCGTAAGAGACACGAGTGCATGTAGTAGTGCTCTAAACTCAGAGTAGCTGCGTGATAAAGCGAGGTAAGCACATCGCTTGTCAGATTTGTTGTTGTTGACACGTGGTCGGGTATCATATCCGCTTGACGCTCAAGCTCAAGATTTATGTACAGCAACGCATATGCGGACATCTACATAGAACACCGTCGACAAACCCAACCCGAAGCCTTCTAATCCACAATGACAACAGTTCGACCCTCAGGAACCGTATAGGGAACCCGCTCAACGCGTCTTACGTAGGTAGGATAACGTTGTTCTTCCATGCGCGAGCCATCGTGTGGAAGGTCAAAGGCTTGCCTGTTCGTTTCGCGTCCGTTAGTAACAACTTCAAAAACTAAGAAGGGGACGGCACGCGCTGCCCCAGCTGCAAGGTCCATACCGTGAAGTGTCCACAGCATCTTCATACCCTCTGACGTAGTGGCGGGCTGTAAAAGGCGGATTAGGTACCCTGTCAGCATAATTGCTTGGACCATGATGATCGGCCACAACATAATCCTGGACAGCGGGTCCTGCCCGGGAATCCAGACAAACACGGCCAACGGGCCGGCTCCATTCTGTGCTACCGGGCGAACTACGCATGTATTGTTCGGTCTGCACCGGAATTCCAGCCGGGAGAGGATGGGGGTGGACTGGGTACGTTGCAGGTTGAAGACGACGCTGCACTGGATACTTTGTTGGAACAGGATCCCGTACGTCAACGGCACGAACGAAGTCCTCCGCATAGTGTCTTCCTTGAGACGGTTCCTGTGAAACCAAAGGGGGGTCATATTCTCTGCCGCGACGAGCAGGGTCCTCCAGCTGAGCCACGTCAAGCGGTCTTGAACTGCCAGAGTTATATCTAGGAACCTCATGATAGACACGTCGCTCTCTCAACTCATTGGGCCGCACAGGAACAAGCCTATCAGTAGCATTATCCTCAGGAATAGCATATCTTGTACTTGGCACAACTTGAGATTGCCCTGGAGACCTGTACTGGATGGGCAGGCCGGAAGGCACAAAATGAGATGCATGGCCATGTACGTCTTCCAATGGCCTCTGATGCACGGCAGTTATGGTCCTGGGGCCAGGTGCGGTAGTATAAGTGGAGTATTGCGTTCTTTCCGGGTGACCCTCCGCAACAGGATGAGATCCAACGGGGGCAGCATATCTCCTACGGAAATGAATATCGTCCTGGATTGAAGAGGGTTTCAGGTGAGTATGTCCAGGGGTATCCTGATACCTGCCGCTTGTGTAAGGGAAAGCTGCACCAGTGGTGACAACCCTGGCTTGAGTATGACAGAGCCGTTCACGCTCATAGTGGCCCATACGTCTCCGTTTAGAAGCTTGATCTCGATCAGAAATTTCTGAATCGTGATGTATCATCTCCTGGCGAGCGGGACGGTGAGGGGTTATTGAGCGAATCGAGAAATCTCCGGAAATCCTTTTGGCAAGGTAATCCAGCTGGCCACTATTGGGGCGTCGGATTTCCATGGGTGTGGCAGTCTCAATAGAAGGCAATGCATGATCCTGTGGCTGTACATTGGTCCTGTGTTGGGACGAGGCCAGAGGCCTTGGGAGGACGGCTGGGTCCCCGGTCATCTCATGAATTTCTCTCGGGCCACTCACAAATACAGGCGCATTTGGCGAGTCTTCTCGCTGATATGAACGCTTCTGCTGTTGAATGACTGGCACTCGCTCCAAAGAAACCGCACTTGATACAGGTGCAATCTCCTTTCTCTGAGCAGACAGTTCAGGCATACGGTGCAGTTCATACTGCTCGTTCAAAGTTAGCTCGAAGCAGTTCTCTCAGTGTAGATCATACCGCACGGCTATGATAAACACAAATATAGACCTTGGGTGGCTTACCCGTTCCATTACAGAGTCCGCGACCGTCCTACCTATGTTGGTACTGATGGGCCTTGCACTAGACGTAGCAACGGGTGCCATCGAAACATGAGGTCTATGAGCAGACTCTGATTCAAGCCCAACAGGTCCTGGCAATGGCTGTCGAGTGACGACCGGGCCCCGAGATTCGGAGGCATCATGCAGTCTATGCTGGTTAGTTTCGTTTGCTATGTTTCTATATCGGTTGAGAGCGCGGTCCCAAGCCTGATATCTGCTGAAGCCTCGACGATCAATCTTATGTCTTCTGGGGGGCTCTGGAATGTAGCGGAAGCCTGGTGGTGCTTCTTCATCCGACGGATCTAACTGGGTATCACGAAGGGCAGGGTTTGCATAATTTAGCGTCCTTGTTTGAAGCTCGTCAGCCTGGGGATTACTGGAAACCACCATCACGCTGTTATCGCGATCATTAGGTGAGAACGGCTCTCCCTCGACATCACTGTCCTCATCATCCGATATGACAATGACCTCTCGGAAGACGTCCTCCAGGACTGTCTTCCCATTCTCATCGTCTCCTCTCCACTCCACTAATTTTGCAAGGGTGGGCTCTTCGACCACGGTCCGAGCTTCATGAAAGGATGTCGCCTTCAGGAGACGATCGTAGTCAGTGTAAATGTGTCGGATATGTGCCACAACCGCTAACTGAGCCCGACGAGCCAGTGGTAGCTCAACTGCCGTTCCTACTTTTCGCTGGCCCTTAACTCGGTCTCAGCATCTGTCACGCATTCGTATATCATGGTTCCCTCCCATCTATTTCTCCTTGGGCTCGTCACGTACCTTTTGAAAAGCGGTCTTGATGATTTGATTGAGATCATTATCGGGAATGTTGGGGAACAAGTCTCTCAAGACATCTCTCGCTTCTGTATTAATAGTTGTCTGGGAGACTTCTGAATTAGCTCTTTTGCGGTCGTTCTCACCGCCAACCGTGCGAAAGGGCACCGCTTTCCCAGCGGCCGTGAGATAGAGACCCAGATCCATGCACACTGCTGCGACCGCGGCGCTTGGAAAGTGATACCCTATTCGATGTACATGCTGGGAGAGATTGTGGGTGTGCATATGCGGCGTTGTCTAACCATAGCTATTAGATAAACGAGAACCAAGGACCGAATAAGGATACAGCTGTCGGCATACCGTGACAGCGAATACCTTCAGACCATCCTTCCGACATAATTCCTTACATGCCGTCGTAAGCTGAGGGTTGCCTGCAGGTATGAAGGTATAACCAGGAGGGGCCTTTGCTTCAAAAGATATCTGTTTTTTTTGGTCAAGAGTGCCCGTGAGAAACAGATAACACAACAACATACGACACTTCGAAGTTTTTTCTTCTCCTGAGTAACAGATTCCAGAATCACTCTATGTTTTCGAGCATTTCTTTTGACGATCCTGCTCGGGGCTCGCCTGGCAAGGACCGAGGGAGGTCTCCGAGATACTCGGGCCATGCTGACAATGTAGAACCTTCCCAAGTAGCTACAGAAGACAAGCCTTCATTTTACCGGTACCGGTTCGGATACACACACTGCATGGAATGAAGCCGTGGGGGCCAGGAACAATCATCGAGAGCGAATAATTAGACAGACGCGTCGATAGACAGCTAGTAGTCACACGGGTGTTTTCAAGTTAGTAAGCCATATTCTACACAATGAAAAAGATCCTATGCATGAACCGCAGTCCCAGAAAGTCAAGAATATGGACTAAACTGGAACAAGCCGATAGCTGTTCAAGTCGGTCTAGCCACCGTTTTGGCCAACAAGATGATGCACTAGCCCTGATACCGCGATATAAAGGGGGGTGCTTGATGAGACCGAAAAGGTAGTTAGCCGGTTCAACGCTGACCTCCCAACTATAGGAGTGTATAGCGAGGCAGAGCAGCAAAGATAGCGGCAGCCGGGTGTAGTATACAAAAGAACCTCCAACAGGCTGGGTTGGGCTGGTGGACGAGGTTTAAAGGGAAAGGTGGGAGAGGGAACGAGAGCGCCGGAGGGCAACCAAACTTAAACCATTTGCGGCCTAACGCGCGGGCGCCGCTGGTGCCTGCCTGATCGGGGCTAGCGTGACCTACCTCATTCACTCCAATTTGCGACCACCAAGCTACATATTCAATCTTCCTGTCATTATATCTAGCACCTTCCACTCTGATTGCCACTAACTGGATCAGAGAAGCAGTTGAGGGATTTACAGGAATGTTGGCGCATTCTGACATCTTGCTGAGTGGTGAATCAAAAGAATAAGGGTGGTGGTGACGAGGGGAAATCCTAGTATCAGTTGCCTGTGACCCAGAGGTCTCCCTTCTCCCTTTCGCGGCAGGATGATTACACCTACCCAGACTCTAAAGTCGGTTGTGGATCAGAAAGCTGTTGTCCATGCCTATCGCCACTTGTATCGCCAGGGCTTGAAGGCCATCAATTATTCTACCCCAGCACGGCATGTTCTTCGGCATAGTCTGCGATCCGCCTTTCGTTCATCTTCACCGGAAGAGCTGAACCCGCGGCGCATAGCCAATACTTTACAATTTCTCCAACGAGCTGCCGACGTTGCAGGCCTTGAGCATAAGATTGTGAAAAACCTGATGATGATGAAATACTGGGAGCAGCCCCAAGTGAGAAAAGACCACCGCACGTAGGTTATCATTGAACCCCCCTGAAGAAGAATTTAGGCCGTGCGGGACTAATTTCAACCTAAGCTTGAGAGGGCTAGGGGTCGATCAAAGGGATCCTATATTGATGCAGGATACAATGCGGCAGTTTAACCTAACCTTGTCACTCCTCAATGACAGCCTAGATATTTGCTTGAGGTAATCCATAGAGATCATTGATTCCCTATCGTCTATATCGAGTGTATGGGGTCCCTGCTTTCGTCGGACATTGAATAATTACAGTCCCCCCAAAGTAGTAGGACAACGCATATCTTCCACTTCAACTCTCACGCGGCAGGACATGACGCTATCTGAGTGTCGACTAAGGTCTACATTTATTTTCTGGGGTTTCTTACATCTTGAAGCTCCGACAACCTTTCAAAACCGGACTTATTTCCCAGGTGAAGCTGCAGCTGGAGCTGGGTTGGATGAGAGACGAGGGGATTGTTTCAGCCGGCATGGTCGCCACTGGCGTGTGATCGGGATATACGGGAGCGTTGAAGGTGGAAGTAGATCTGGGCCGCGGCTAGCGAATCAGCATCCGCGCCGGCCCAGTGTCACATGTTCGAAGTGCCTGTTCCGGAGCCCTTGTCTGACCTTCAGGCTCGTTCCAGCGAACTCCTAGTCTTGTAATCCTGCGTACTTGGAAAATAAAAAGGCTATTCTCAATCTACCTTCCCTCCTTTGACTTTCAGCTACATTAACACCTCATATCAATGCTGCCATAGGCCCTTCATGAGTGGGCTTATTACTTCCCTCTTCATTGAACCCGTCGTTCGGCAAGCCCGCCGCCTCTCCCAGCAGGCCAATGCCCAGCCATCCCCCGACAACCGACCTGAATCTCCCGCAAGCACACGAGACTATGTTCCCCTGGTCAATGGCAATTACAAGGCCGCAGACCCTACTAAGATCATAATGCCGGACTCTGGACAAGAAAAACATGCTGATCCCCCTTCGAATGGCGGATATGCGGGGTCCGACCATGGTCGTGCGATCTCGCCGACGTCGCCGCCGATCGACCCGACTAACCAACATCATGGAACAGAACATAGCACTGTCCTGGACTCGTCCAGTAGTCCAGTAGGGGACTCATTGCCGTGTTTGCCAGGTTCTCCTGGTATGCATAGAAGACCCTCGACACCGTCGGTACGGTTTGCCCCTGTCGCTTTTCCCGCGCATGAAGCCCCTCAGAGCACGAGACAAGACCCCCAAAGCCCACGACAACACTCGAACGACCAACTATCAGGCGAAGACGGCGGGACATCTTATACCTTACCAGAGGACGATGGAATGGGTGCCTTGAGAAAGAGAATCCACGCTATCAGGGACCTGGGATCTAGCAATGCAGACCAGGCACGCATGATCCATGCCTTAATGACGGAGAACTACCACGCTTCCCAGAAGAGTTTTGATGATCAGTCTGCTCCAAGGAGTCTATCACCTTTTAGCCCTCGCAGCCTCCCACGGGCGGATAGCCCCGGTAGCTGGTCCGACCGATCTTCCAGTCAAACATCGCAGTCTCCAGTCTCGACAGCTCCCGTTACTCCTTCGTACAATTTGACGGCTGAGGATTTAATACCAACGTATGCGCCCCGGATGGAGCCCGAGTCGCCTCTCGGTGAAGTGGAAGATATAGATGCAGAAGAATGTGAGGAAGTTTTTCTGGGCTGTCAGCACTATAAGAGAAACGTCAAGTTGCAGTGCCATGCGTGTAAGAAATGGTACACCTGTCGCTTCTGCCACGACGCAGTCGAGGATCACCATCTTGACCGGCCAAGAACAGAGCATATGCTGTGCATGTTGTGTGGGCACGCTCAACCTGCGGCACATTCATGCGGACATTGTGGTGAAACGGCGGCGCAGTACTATTGTCACGTCTGTAAACTCTGGGACAATGACGCAGACAAGAGCATATATCATTGCAATGACTGTGGCATATGCCGTATCGGGCAGGGCCTGGGGAAGGATTTCTTCCACTGCAAGGTAAGGGACCAATCCACCTGAGTTGACCGGCGTGGGATGCTGATGTGAGGTCTAGACGTGCAGTGTCTGTCTTCCGATCTCTATCGAGAACACGCATCGATGCATAGAACGCTCTACGCAATGTGACTGTCCTATTTGCGGTGACTATATGTTCACGTCGCCAGAAACTGTGGTTTTCATGCGGTGTGGCCATAGCATCCACCAGCGATGTCTATCTGAATATGCGAAAACTTCGTACCGCTGTCCGATATGCAGCAAAACCATAACAAATATGGAATCCACCTTTCGGAATCTGGATCGAACCATCCAAAGCCAGCCTATGCCAGCCGAGTTCAGAGACACAAGAGCTCTTATCTATTGCAATGATTGTGGTGCCAAGTCTATTGTCAAGTATCACTGGCTGGGTCTTCGATGTGATATGTGGGTTCTTTAATGATCTCCCTCCACACGGTTTGCTAACCAAGGGCTTAGGTGTGAATCATATAATACTGCTCAGAAGCAGCTTCTCCACCGCGATGCTCAGGATCCCGCAGAAATTGATGGCGAGGACACGAACATGGCAACCTCACGAATCAGATCTTCCTCCTATGGTGCGGATGAGACCGTATTATCAACGCTAGCCTCGTTGCGAATTGACACGAGCAGTGTTCCGAGGTCGGACTCAGCAACTCCTCGGACCAACGCACCTTTGTCCGCCGAAGCAGCTGGCCAGTTCTCGTCCTATAGCCTGGCTCGTGGTCGTGCAGTCTCCCCGGTGATCAGTAATTATTTTGGTATCCCGCCAGACCGTGAGTCGGAGAGGTCGCGATCCACATCTTTCTTTAGCGGCTTAACTTTCCGGAACAGTGCGGACGATGACGGTGGCGAGCTTCGCTTATGGGGTACCAAAATCAAGTACAGCTATGGTTTTCTCGGACAAGAAACCGAATCTGTTGATGGGGCCTCTGATGCGGAAATTGGAGAGTTGGACGAGGATGACGATAGTGGATCCGAAGAAGCAGAGAATACTCGTGAAGAAAATGAAGAAGACGAAGAAGACGATCAGGAGAGCATCGACATATTTGGACATCGATGAAGTCACCTTATTATATACTATATGCATACACACGGCTGTTCCTCGAAAGGCTACTGAGGAAGCGGATAACGACCACCATAATGGAGCTGTCATGGCAGAAGTTGGCCGGTCCAACTGAAAGCTGCCTTCTACGATACATTGATACTTTTTTTCTTTCTTTTTTTTTTTATCTTTGGCTTGAGTTATGGTGGTATGGGCGTTTGGTGTTGAACTTGTGAGATTAACGAGTCTATTGGGACTATCAGTCATTGTTGCACCCGCACGCATGGCGCATCGGATGGAGGTAGCAGGGGGGTAAAGGGAGACTGGGGAGGTTAGAGGGTGTTTTTGCTTTGTGTAATATTAGGCCCGGAAGGTTTAATGGGTAGACAGAGGGGGAATAGCATGGCCTTCTCCCTCGTCCCCTTATTTTTTATTACTTCATATTCTATACTACGAAGATCTCTATTGAGTGGTGATGTACTGGTGATGTATGCCCCAGGCGAGCAAGGGATGCTTAGGTAAGCGAGATATGGGGGGAAGATTTGAATGATCGGGCGAAGATGACGATGACGACAAAGTAAAGATGGGATGCAGATGCAGAATGATTGAATGAATGCAAAATCCCAACCATGGTTGGCCACTCTGAAACGACCTCCCTTCTACTTCTAGGCAGCTCTGCTTCTTCTTCCTCTCGTTAGAAATCTTCTTCTGCTGTTCCCTCTACCGCTCCACACATTTCCATTCCGTCCTTTCTTTGTCCTTCCTTCTGACTCTCTGCCTGCTGCTGCTCACTAATCTCTCCTTTGAAACGAAAGCACGGATCTCTCCGGGGCATGTTCCAACTCTCAGCTTGATTACGAACGCTTCCCCGACTCTTCGGTGCTGCTGCGCACCCGTCCCGGCCACACTCTTCTCGTCCTGCCCAACACTTATCCAGACTCTCCTTTTCCGTCTGTCTGTTACGGATTCAACCCGCCCTTGACCGTCGCACTATATAATCCAGTCGCTATACAGTACACCCATCCGATACCCTCCCATCCCCCCCAACCCCTCCGATAAGGCCCCTCCCTATCGGTCTCTCTGGCGCGGATGCAGCAGCAGTACAACTATAAACCCTCGTCCTATTAGAACATGATCCGTCGCAATTCAGACATTGAGGTCCAGCTCCCCGATGCCGGTAGCCCCGTCGTCTCCGAACCTTCAAACAACCCGGATGTAGAGATGTCATCGGATGAACCTACTCTTCCTCTGAGCCTCCCTACCCACCTCGCCGCTCGCTTTGCCCGGAAACCCAGTGTGATTCGTCGCTCATCAGCAGCCTCATCCCGCCGAAGCTCGATATCGTCCCTGCATTCGCAACACTCGCATGCGTCGGCTCATGGCGCATCTTCTACCGATCACGCAGCGCAGCATCTCCGGCGGACCTCTATCCTCGAAAGCCGCAAGGCACGGCTTGCCGACCGCGCGTTACACGCAGAAAAGGTGAGGCTACGTGCTGCCCTTGCGAAAGCTGCTACACGCAACTTGCAAAGAGAGGAACGGGCTTTAGCTGCCCAGCAAGCTCGGGAACGGCTTTTGGCTGAAATCACTGCCAAGTGCGAGGAGGAAGTCCGCCGGGCGAAAAAGAAGGCTGAAGACAACCGGGAAAGGAAGGCTGCTGAGCACGCTCGCCTTCGTTTGGAGATCGCCGAGAAATTCGCAGAGGTAGAGAAAAGGCGAATGCTATATCAACAGAGCCAACGGCGCCACCGCACCAGTAGCCTGCATTCCACGGACGAGAAGAAGATGTCAAAGCTTTCAGCGGGTCTCATCACGCGGGACGCAGCCGCAAGAACAATTCAACGCGCATGGAGGACATACCATTCCCAACTGATCATGCGAGAGTTTCTTGATCTAGGCCTGACCACCGGTCGCATCCGTGACATGACCTTTGAGGATGTGGGTGCCCTGCTATCGGCGGATCCAGTCCTGACCACTACGGCCCGCGTCCTTCGACTCTGCGGGCTGCAAGACATGGAAAGCGGCACCATGGGCGGCCGGGGTGCTGTACGCACGTTTCTCAGCAGCTACTTGATTGTCACTCATCCTACAGAGGTTCTGAGCAGCAACGGAGAACAGGAACAGGACCTGATCGCCAAAGCACGAGAGCTCCTTGAGGCGTTCGAGCAAGTTACTCCTCTGCTCTCCTCCGGCTGCTGCTCTCCTCTGTCCATATCCACTGAGCTCCAGGTGCTGTGTGAGGCATACAGTGTCTTTTTCTCTGCGTTCCATGCGTGGAAGACGCATGATTCCAGCGTTTTGATTGAGATTATGCTAGCTCAATTTATCGAGCTGGAGCTGATCTGGCAGACGGTTAAGGATGATCGTGCCGGTGGTGTGGCCGACGATTATCGGCAGGGGATCAGACAGAACCAGATATTGCTCCTTGCCAGGCTGAAGCGTCTGGCGGGGTCTGATCGGGCCATGCAGATGGTGCGCGATGCTTTGAAGAAGGCCAAGCGTGAGAAGAAACGTACTGCCGCTAAGAAGCAAGCTATCCCGCGGTCAGCGGAAGTTGCGCCCTCCACCGAAGCTCTCACTGAGAGTGTTGCCTCTCCTATCAGTGAGACATTTAACAACGTGGATAGTGCAGTCTTGAAAGAATTAGACAAGCAGCGGATCTCACCTCATGAACGGTTCACCCGCATCCTCACTGCCCTTCCGGAGAACCGGGCGTTGGTTCATGAGCTCCTCATCAACAAGGCGTTCAAGATTGATGAGGAACAATATACGGAACCACGCAGGCGGATAATGGAGCATATGTGCGAAATGATGCGCAGGGATGTTGATGACGGTCTAGGCACGAACTGGACGGTGGCTATGGCTACTGTGATTCAGGATCGATTGCTGCGCTCTCTTCGGCCTGGCAATTCGCTCCATGTATTGATCAGCGAAGTGCTGGATCCTAAACTAATTGAGAACCAGTGCAAGGCTGGCGCTTTTTCCTACGATAAATTTTTCGAGTTTATGAATACCATCCTTCCGAAGCTCTGCGCACCTTATCGCGACCCTGTGGTCAAGGCCTTTGTCGAGGATACGTCCGGGGATGCGATCGATCGGCTAGCAAGACTTATGGGAATCATCGATCTCCTGTCTCTTGATCACACCAATTTCATGATCCAGATGGCGGCGCCGCAGCTCATTCAGGAGGCGCCTGGCTACGAACAGAGAACGTTCGAGAAAGGTCTCCAAGATGGCTCGTTGAGTCTCGGGAAGACCCGCCGTTTCTGGCGGACGTACCGAAAGGTTCTCGCAGATGAGATGCGGAAGCGTGATCCGGAGAACGTAAATGGCGAGCCACAACCCCCTATGGCCAAGATCTACGCGCAAGGATTGGTGGATCTGGTGCTGAGCAATGCCCCCGTGTCCGACGAGCTGATTCCTGAGACACTGGAGTTGGATCGCCAGCGGCTTGGGCGGCTACATGCCCAGGCATTTCGGATCGTTGCCACGGCGTCCATACTCTTAACGGCAAAGAATCTGCTTAAACGTGATGTGCGGTCTCAATGGAAGGCCGAGGCTGACCGAATCCTGTCCCTCGACTTTAATGAGATCCAACCTGATCGGGTCCAGTCGATCTTAGAGTCCACTCACCCAATGCCTCCTAGTGCGAGCGCCCAATTGGCAGCCACTATTCGACGAGTGCTGGCGCCAGTAGGTGCCGCTTGCGCCGCTGCCGCACCGGCGGGAGCGACGCAGACGACAGTCGAGATCCAAACGGACCCAGACCCGTCGGGCCCGTCTGCTGCCTCTTCGTCTACCGTGTCCGAACCTGCAGGATCCATTGGCTCTACAGGATCGTGTGGGAGCGCGACCAATGCTGCCAGCTTTACGGACCCTGTGGCACGGTTGATCTTGTCGCGTTTACGAGCTCACATCCTCTCTCGTATGAGCGCGTCTAGCGCCAGCGAGAGGGTGCGGGCCACTACTACGGCTAGCCAGAGTCTAGCAGGAGCCGGTATGCCTGAGTTCGTGACAGAGGTCGGGCAATTGACCGAGGAGTTGGAGAAGATGCGTGAAGTGGACTGGTTATGTCATGGCATGATCTACGATCGCATCTTGGCCTAGGGTGTTTTGGCTTCAGAATGGAGCGTAATCCCAATTGTATATTTCGGGCTGACAGGGGCTTTCTCTCTCTTTCTCCGCCCCCTCTCTCTTTCATGCCGTTACTTTATGGTCTCTTATTTTTACATGGGCTTCTTTGGAGGGATATCTGTCTATAACAGGAGGGTAGACTAGGATGTGAAGGCGTAGTGTTGATATTTCTGTACCTAATGTGAACGCGAATCTATACAGTCGCAGTTTGTGTCTCCGGGGCTCTAGATGGATGGAATGACTGACCTGTAGACTGAAGTCATGCTTTTGATATTTCTCAAACCCTTTTACGACCGCCAACTGGTGAGCTCAGAGCGCTGTGACGTGACTAATCGCCGATCCACGGCAACGACGACATTATCAGTCAGTATTCGCTCCCCGCCAAATCCCACGTTATTTCCATCCTCTTCCATTGGACCATCTACCGACTTCCTAAGAGCCCGAGTAGACATCTGCGGCAGGAAAGCAAGGAGGCGCTCTAAATATAGACCGGAATACCCTCAATCATCACCATGGCCGCCGTCGACCACCCCGCCTCCTCGCTCCCCCACCTCCAGCTGCTGTCGGATTTGACCCCGCCTTCGCTCGAACGCACCTGGTTAACAGCACCGCACCCCCGACTCCCCATCGTCGCCACCTGCAGCTCCGACAAGACCGTGCGCGTCTACTCCCTGACCAACTTCCGGCTCCTCTCCACCATCTCCGGCGGACACAAGCGCAGCGTCCGCACAGCAGCATGGAAGCCACATGTCCAGGGCGAGAGCGTGCTCGCAACGGGTAGTTTCGACGCCACCGCGGGGATATGGCGTCGGTGGGACAGTTATGGACAGACGACTGGTGATGAAGGATGGGGATTGGGTCAAGAAATCACCACCAAGAGCAAGTCACAACAAGAGCAAGCGCAAGAGACCGACATTCTCCGTCAACAGCAAGCCGCAGACAACGACAACGACGGCGGCGCAGATGATGAAGACGAAGAATGGCGTTTCGCCGTTCTCCTCGACGGACACGACAGCGAAGTCAAATCCGTCTCATGGTCCCCTTCGGGAATGCTCCTCGCGACATGTTCGCGGGACAAATCGATCTGGATCTGGGAGGATCTGGATGACGGGGACAATAACTTCGAGACGGTTGCGGTGATGCAAGAGCACGAGGGAGATGTCAAGTGTGTGGCGTGGCATCCGGTGGAGGAGTGTTTGGCTAGTGCGAGCTACGATGATACAATTCGTATTTGGCGTGAGGATCTGGATGATTGGGGACAGGTTGCTTGTTTGCGGGGTCATGAGGGGACCGTGTGGTTTGTGGATTGGGAGAGTGTGGAGAATGCGCCAGTTTGTTCGGAGGAGACGCTGTTGGCGCAGTGGAAGGGGGATTTGAAGAGGGAGTTGTCGGGTCCGCGTATTGTGTCGTGCTCGGATGATCGCACTGTCCGGGTCTGGAGAAGACAGCCTAAGGAGCAGGCTGCTACTGGGGGTACAGGCATGCCGAGTATTTTGCGTCCGACGGGCCTGGATGAGACTTGGGAGGAGGAGACGGTCTTGCCCAAGGTGCATGATCTGGCTGTTTATGCGGTCGCTTGGAGCAAGCGGACGGGATTGCTGGCGTCTGTGGGTGCGGATGGTCGCATTGTGATCTATGAGGAGCGCTTGGTGGTGGTGGATGATGCTTCCGCGGGTGAGTCGCAGCCTATGGATACGGATCCGCCTGCGGCTGCGGCAAAGGGTGCTGTGCGGCCGGAGTGGGCGGTTCTGGCGGTGTTGCCGGGGGCGCATGGCATCTATGAGATTAACCATGTGGCCTGGGCCAAGCGTGCGGATCGTGGTCGTGACGTGAGCAGGGAGGAAGAGGTCTTGGTCACTACCGCTGATGATGGCAGTGTCAAGGTATGGACGGTGAAGCGGTAATTATTTGGGAGGAGGGAGTTGCAATTGGATATCGACTATATTGAGGTCTATACGATGTTTACCGGTATATGAGATTCGTGGCTTATAGACGGGGAGGGCACTGTGTCTGGGCTATATGTCAGGAAGCGGTCATAAACTTTGTTCATGTCTAGATGTTAAATGATGCCAGGTAGCAACCTAGATAAGATGATAAAATGCACATAAGGAGCACGTCCTTTCGTGGCCAAGAAAACAAAAACAAAAGGCCAAAACCCGAAGCAAGCCATACACCTACACCATCACAAGAACCCAACAGAAGATGAACTAGGATAGATTATGATTGCCCCCAGCTCGGGAGGCCTGTCGAGAATGCTGTCGCGAGATATCATCCTCGTCGCTGTCCTCGCCCACAGCGTAGTGTTCTCTTTCGAGATCCGGAGAATGAAGGTCATCGAGTTCGGCCTCGTCGAAATCCCCAGCTTCGACGTCTGCGCCTCCCGTGCGCTTGTTGTGGAACCGCTCGAGAACAGAGCTTCCGCTCATGTCCTTATGCCAGACGCCCCGGTATCCCTGGTGACGCCGGCGGCTGCGCCAGATGAAGAAGCCCCAAACTAATACCCCGATAATGACGACGACGAGAACGGCTTCACCTGACTTGGCGTAAGCTTTCCATTCCGTCTCCTTGATCCTCTCCTTCTCCTGCTCCTCCGCCGCGGTGCTGTTGGGATGGCCGCCCACCGACGTCTGGGGCAGCTTCTCGCCGTCAATGCGCGAGTCGGCGGGGCTGCCTCCGATGCTCGCGATATCGACATTCATGAAGCGATCTAGCATGTCCCGGCTCTGACGAGGAAGGTCGTAGGGAACCATGTGACTTGCGTTGTAGATGAGCACATAGGTCAAGTTTCTGGCATATTGATAGATACCAGCCGGCTCGCCTTCGAAACTCCAGTCGTGTCGAGGAGCCCAGACGCCGGGTGAGGTCTCGAAACCGGTGCCCCCGTTCCACTTCATGTTGTTGATGAGCTGTTCCGTTCCGACATGGTTGCAAATTAAGTCCTTGTCTCCGCTGAAAAGAAGGATTTGAAGGCCCGATTCCAGCAAGCCAGGAAGTAGTTGAACCGAGGGTGGGGACTTTTGCGGATTGAAGGCGCTGCTCACTGCTCCTGAGCACTCCACCCAGCCAGACTTCTTCTCCGGATTGATGTTAAGGGCTTTAACCACATCTTCTCGCTGCAGGTAAGGCTTCACGTCCTCCAGATCGGTCGGCCAGTTCATACCGCATGCGTCGGTGGTGTCACGAAGGCGGATATCATACATGTTGAGACATTGGTTGTTTTCGACCGTCTTATCCAACAGAGCATTCATGACCTTCTCGCAATCGTTCAGATGGACCTTGTTCTTGCCCGTTTCCAACCGGGACTTGCAGACTGACTGCAGAACCTCGAGTTCCTTCGCGACCCGGCTGCCTTCCTTGATAAGGCCTTCTTCATATGCGTAGGGTAAGTAGGACATGTACTGTTCATGTGGAGAAATCCAACCATTGCCAATCAATAGACCTTTCAGATTCCACGAAGCGATGGTCTTTCCTTGAACATTCTTATTGCGTTCCTGAATGGCTTTGGCGATGTATGGAATATGCTGACCGGCGTAAGACTCGCCGGCAATGTAGATCTGTGGGAGATATTAGAAGAGAATCCTTTAGGATGCAAGGCTAGGGCAGAGCGAGGTATTGCAGCATACATCATCGCGTTCATACTCCGGAAATAATCTGAACCACTCTTCCAGGAAGACAATGAATTGAGCCGACATCTCATCGAGCTCATGGAGATAACTGTCCGTGTTGACGTAACTGAACCCGGTTCCGACTGGCTGATCGACGAACAACAAATTGGCGAATTCGTCCCATGAACCCTCATTATAGGTCAAGGTGTCATTGTCCTTCAGACGATACGGACCGACCTCCATCAATGCGCCGTCCATGGAACTACATCCGGGCCCACCGTTCAGCCAGATCACGGTTCGTTGGCGATTGGCGATATGGCGATTCTGATAGTGCCAAAAGAAAAGGTTTCCATTGTTCTGTGGATCCACCTCGATATGGCTGCGCGTGGAGGCCACAAGTCAGTAAAATGGATGCTAAGCGGACCGTTCCGGGATATTGAAGCTTACCCAGCATGCATCTTCAGCAAGGGCCCCTCGGGGGCACCGGGCAAGGAGTGAACATAATAGTCTGCGGCCGACTTGGCTGATACCAAGGACGGGCTCAGAAAAAGGAGCGTTGAGATCAACCAGGACGCCATTGAGGGAATTGAAGTGGTCTCCCCGCGGGATGATAAGGAGACCATGTGTAGGCGATTAGTACTGAGATATGGCGGCGGCGGCGGCGGCGGCGGCGGCGGATGACCGGGGTAGTAGTAGATATTGCCGAAGACGGCGCGGAGGAAACGGTCCCAAGTGGGATTGAAGTCGCGCTCAAGGAGTCATCGAATTTCAGCCAGCGGGGCCTTGCACTTTTCGCTTACCCGTCACCCTTGGGGGCGGAGGTAATGGGAAGCAACTCTCTCGGGGATTACGTCGGCGGAGAGGACCGGGAGGGAACCTGGTTCAGGAACAGGGATAAAGGTCAAGGCCAGAGGGAGGCGGGGTAGGAGTGTTTGTGACCTCTAGCACAAGAGCCGCTGTCCAGACACGCTCCAGATGTGAAAGTCAAGAGATTCCGAAGGAGAAAAGGGGAGGAGAGGGCGAAAGATGGGAAAGGGAAGTGGATGAGAGAAGCTGAGGGAGAGAGTGGATAGAGAAGAGCATAAGAGGATGGCGTGGCCAGACGGGGCGGCGCTCGGTATGGCCCCGTATCAGCCGGTATCTGGGCGGATCCCGTTACGATCGTTACGCACCCTGAAGAGGCGTGAGAAGCGGCCTGATGAAAGGGATGAAACCATTCTGATACCGTTTCCAGACCGTCTCAGCCTATCGTTGCCTGTTTAGGGGCTCTATAGGTTGCTTCTATAGAAAGACTCGAATCCCGTCGCATTCTCTGGTTCCATGGCTTTTCTGACTGTGTCTTTCTCATGCATTGTGTGAATCGGCCAAATAGAACGCCACAATGTCCTCATGGAAATAGCTCCAATGGTTATCTGACCATATCGCTTTCCCTTTTCTGAAGCTATTCGTGATGTAGTTCTCGCCGGTGCTAGCCAAGAGTTCGCCCGAATCGGGTCAGTCCTTAGAATCCATGACTTAAGCCCTTCTTCATCTTGCGGGTCTAGCGCTCATGATTTCTTATTATATTTCTCTCTTTAAATATCCTGTACAGAGGTTTATTTTTCCGACAAGCTACGTCCGTCGCTGGTATACCAGATTAAACAAGATCATCGATGCCCTGGTCAGCATCCTTTTTGATCAAGTCAACCATGCCCTGGGATTTGTCAGTGATATCGTGAGATGAGAAATGATGTCTCTGTGGGTGAGAGGTTCTTTCAGGACGCACCTTGGGCATGATTGGCTCTCCATCATCGCCCTTTACATAGCGGAACGGCATCTCGGTGCGTTCATGCTCGTTAATCAAAATTTCCGGGTAGTCAATGTACTGAATTTGCTCCAGGGGCACTGTCCTGGAGTCAGCTCTTGTCTCTCATCTCACTGTCCGGAGAAGCAGGGGTTGACCTTTCTCATGCACGACCATGCGCGTAACACGCACCGCCGTGTCCGTGGTCATCTGCTTAGGGCCCAGTCTTCTTCCGGCATAACCCTTCTTGCGCAGTTCGGAAGTCCGATCTGAATCCATTTCGTCAACACCTTGAACCTCATGGTTACTGCTATTTCGAAAGGGAACTTACCACGAGGAGGATCATCGCCTAAAGACCAGCGAATCTCGACGGTTAGCTATCTTGGAAATATCATAATGCCAACTAGATACCTCCGACAGTCCAGGCTCGATGATTGGAAGCACTCACCAAGAATACCTCCGAAAAGGAAGACATCAAAAGTGTCTGCATCAGCGGGACTCAACTCCACAGTGGCAGCGGGGTCCAGCAGGCAGACTCTGGATTTCCGATCCGCAAAGATCTGCTCGACACTGCGATGCTCCACCCCAAGGCCTGGGGTAGCAGCCAGGTCTTCTGGCATCTGCAAGGAGGTGGGCACCGAACTGAGGAGAAATTTGCTTCCCGCGGCGTGTGATTCACGGGCAATGCAGCCATACTCCAGGGCGGACCAAGCGCCCAGCTCGGGGTCCAGATGTTCGACCACAATGGTCACGGGTTCCGAACCTTGCGCGGACATGGAGTCGCAATTGGAAGGATTTGATGTATCCTGCAGTTGAGACGATGGCTTAGAGCGTTTACAATTGGATGGGTGTATCGAGAGAAGTGGTGTGAACCAGCCAAAGTGTGTCGTCCCAGGTAGTTATACCTTGTTCTTCTTTTCCCTTTTCTTGTCGTCAGAATATAACGGCAACCAAGAATTATGAGAATAGGAAAAAAGAAAAAAAAATGTCACAAGATAATTCAGAATTATGAATAGTATGGACAGAGAGAGAACAATGGAGAATAGCCTTCGTGGAGATAAAATCCAGCAAGACTGGAAGAAGGAATGAGTGCGATGCGTTCGTGGAGGGGCAGAATGGAGAAGAGCTGCTGAATTTGATTCCGTTTGAAGTCAATTCGAGGTCGAATACCGAGTACTAATAATACCACCCCGACAAGTTCACCACCACCACCACCATCACGTTACCACTCCCTATTTACATCGTGCGATTAATTCCAGAGGACTCTAAAGCAGATGAGGCAATTTACTTCTTAATCGAATATTTGGATAATTAAATAAAAATAAAAATGAGTGATTTGTTGGATATTCTCTGCATCTGATTTCACAATGAAACATGGAGGGGTTGGCTGGGTTTGGTTTCTAATCGATAAACCGGCAACTTATCAAGGCCAACAACGATAACGACTATCGGTACTTGAATCTAAGTAGTAGGTTAGTTCTTTTAGTTTACTAATTGCACTAAAACCACTGATGGCATTGACTCCGCCGTCAAGCAGAATTACATAGGTCTATGGTGAACATGAAATTGTACAACAGTCCATACACACGTTAAATTAAGTCTCGTGAATTACCGATTGATTTATGCTGGAAGTGAGTTGCCGGCAACGTCGGTATTGGTATGTAACAGTATAGTCACGAGGTAGTGGAGCCGTTCCAGAATACACCAGACTAAACCAGATGCAGATAGCATCATACCATAACAGGCATAGTGGGTACAGGTGGATCGACATTAGCGGAGAACAGGGTTGGTACTGAGACGGTCACAGCCAACCATCGGGCAGTGGCACCTTCCCCCAATTATGACGGGCAAGGTCACTTCTCTCTCTGTCTTGTCTCTCACTCTCTCTCTCTCTTTATCTTCGGACTGCTTGCTTGACCTCCTCCCACTTTCAACTCATCCCCTCCACCTCCCCCTTTTTCTCTTCTTTCTCTTATCTTCTCGGTTTGACCAACTCAGTTCATTTCACTTTTATCTTCTTCATTCTCTCTTGCTTTCACGCCCTTCCCTTCCCTTCCACCCCCCTTTGGTTCAGTCAACTAGACCAACTTATTGGTGTCGTCCCATCCTGTGGAATCTATACTTTCCTCCCCGCCATCGGTGGGGTTTCCTGACGACACTCCCTTCCAGTGACCACGCCTCACCCAGTCCTGTCCCCCCCTCAACAACCTAACAACCTCACCTTATTTTTGCCCAACTCTTCCTTCCTCTATTTCTCGTCACCGACTTTATTCTCTTTCTTTCTCTCCTGTCAATCCTCAATTTCTAAACTTTGGTTCGCCAATATGAATCCCCATCAGCAGAACAAGATCGATACTAGCGTGAGTCTTTCCCGAGCGACTAATCCCTTGAAAAATAATGTTCCTTATTAGACTGACAATGACTTTGTGTCTATCTAGAAAATGAGCCCGGATGAGCAGCGGCTTTTCCGCCTCTATGGCAAGATGCCCACCAAGAAAGACCTCCTGCAGAACAAACTGAAGGTATGCCGACTTAATTATCTTCGCCCAGTCTGTCCGTCAACCCTCTAATCGCGGGCTTGTTGCTGTTTAGGAGCGCAAATACTTTGACTCGGGTGACTACGCACTCAGCAAGGCCGGAAAGGCTTCGGACGTCGGTGTCACCAACATCGGCTCCCAGCACCCCGTCCCGGAGAACATTCCTCACTTAACTGCCACCTCGCCTGGTGCTAACAACCCTGCGGCTGCAAGCAATGGCGGCAGCATCAGTGCTCAAGGAGGCCAGCAGATCCCAGGTAGCATCAGTGGCCATCCCGGCTCCATCGGATTTCAGAGCCGAAGCCCTGTGAAGGAGGCAAGTTATCTGCAACGGGAAACAAGTGCGGATGAGACCGAGGAAGCCGAGAAGAAGGAAGATGACAGCGTGAGCCCACCCCCTGCGCGTGGCGGTGTTCCGATCCGGCAATAAATACCTGAACTGTCATTCGTGTTCTCCATGCCTCGTTCGCACTTGTTTCGCATCATGTCTCTGTTTTCCCCGTCGGTGGTGGTGGCATCAAAAGAGCCTGGCGCTATGGATCGATTCTAATGTATTTACGACATCTGTTTCCCTTCTTCCTTCTCCCCTTTCCGTTTCTAGCGATTTCTGTGGACAAAACAGAATGGCTTTGTTTCAGAGCTGGCGGCAATGAAGTTGCAAGGGCGGCGGGAGCCGAGGCTCGGTTCAGTCAGGGCCACTTATCAAAAGCTCAAACCGGAGCTGTGCTCTAAGCCTGGCTATTTGGACTTAGCTCGCTTACTGGACCCGTCCTCTCAGGATTTTTTGCTCGTGGTATCGGCTTTGAGGTCACCTCAACGCTATTTCGTTTTGAAGCTTCTTCTCTTCTCTGTCAATATCAGCTGCAGAACATATATTGGTCATTTGCTGGTCCAATTATTCCACAAGCCTCTTCCTGGTGCGTTCATTCCCGCTCATATGTCTGTGTGATGCCGCACAGGAACGTGAGATCATTTTCGCATACTGTTGTTACCTTATGGATGAAGGAGTGCGTGAGTGAATGTGTGCTGGATACACGGTTTAATTCGGAGATGGCAATGCACCTGGCATCTGTTCTATTCCTGAAGTACGTTGGCAAACGAGCCCTCAGCAGGGCCAAAATGCAACTTGATGGTTTTTCTCCGTGTCGCGGTCTCAGATCCCCTGGCGTATTTGTGGGCTCTACATTGATACGGTAGGCGGAATGCATCCTGTGTGCATTCACTATCCCATCCGATTAGGAGGGCGGGATAGCGTACCTTGGGTGCCGGCAACGTGATTCCGCTCAGTTGATATTCTGCGCTATGTGTAACACGAAGATTACCAATACAAGATCGCTGCAGGCGGGGGGAAGACATCGCATCTTCCATCGAAAAACTGTCATTGGGTATAAGAAGTCGTCTAAGGCACACAAAAGGCAACAAAGCCTGGGATGGGGCAATACATGCTGTTATATGATCCTTGATTGCGAATTGGAAGAGAAAGAAAAATGAACAAAAATAAAAAAATGAATTGACGACTCAGCAAAACGACTGGGGTATAGTAACAAGAGTGGCTCGCAAGACCATAGTGTAAATGAGAGAGGACCAGTTTGAAAGGAGCGATGAAAGGCATGAGGGTACCTGAATCCCCAGCGGAAGGGGCCAACAGAGTGTTTGCAGGGACAGCAAGGCAGCAAAATAAGCCGAGTGCACCATAATTGAACCCGCCGTCGCGGGTGGGGTGCTCATGACCGACACAGGCTATACATTACCATTCCCACCCAGCTAGGGGGGCAATGATTGCATGGCTTTGATATAGCTGTGTGAAGGGTATTGTCGAGAGCTGTTTGCTGCCCCGTATCCTGGATTCCCGGAGTAACATACTCAGAGTGGGATGCTGCAGGTAGGGCCAATGGAAAAGCTTTTGTGCTTCCGGTCCCCGTTCAAAGAAATGTAATAGTATCTGAGATAGCAAAATGACAATGCTGGCTTTCGGAGTGCTTTTGATAGAAGCTCCGGCGAAAGGCATGCTTTAGATGCCTGGCATAGTCTAGCCTGAAAAGTCGAAGAATCCGGGCAATAGTAGCCTCAGCTGTAGGCTTCGAAAGGCGTCCGTATCCGGCTCGGTAGTTGTAAATGAAGAGCCAAGCGATTCCGACGAAGGCTGCGGTATCTCCGCAGTCCACGTCGACAAGATGCCAGAATGTTGCATCCAGATTTTTAACGGCTCCATTCAGTCGGTCTTCCAGTGACCAGCGAGTCCGGAGTCCAGATCGTCGTTCTCACCGAGGTATAACTCGACAGCGTACAAGGCCATGGTGCCGGCGAGATTGGCCCACCGCCAAAGGTTTCCACCGCCGGCTCCTTGGGTGCTCCACCACTCGCCACTGCCACCCATTGCTTGAGAGGTAGAAGCGAAATGCTGCATCAGGAGACTGGTGTACACGGCGATGAGGATGGACGGAGAGAAGTAGCTTAGTACGCCCAAGAATTGGCCCGCCGCATCGGAATCGTCCAACGAGGCTTCTTGGGAGAGAGCTCGGGCACCCGCTTCGCGGACGGCGGGTATGATGCGAGTCGATGCGTACAGAACCAGGATTCGATATGTGAGCGAGATCAACACGGATGGGGTAACGGCACCGAACACTGCCGTGATAACGTTGAAGGCGGCGTGGATGATGGAGGGCAAGGTGGACAAGGCGTGCATCAGGGTCGTGTAGGAAGCCATGATAATAGGAGGAAGCGGCGGGAAGTCCCCGGCTTGAGCGGGGGAAGGTACTTGCTCCACAGGATGCGATGGCTGGTAATCAGTGAAAATCTGGTAGATGCAGAGAACGATGTATGCAAACAGTAGAGAACTTTCTACTGGGTTTCCTCGCCCGCTGCCAATGCCCCACGCGCAGAGGATCACAGCACAGGTGATGGATACCCCGATCAAAGCGGCATCAACATTTGAGATCTCGGGGAATTGGAGGACCCGCCACAGGAAGTATACCGAGCTCGATATGATGGAGGCGGAGAGTACCAGGAGACCGATCTAGCGAAGCACGAATTAGCAAATAGGCATCCTGCCAATGTGGGCTATGGAGTGACGTGGACATACCATCCAACTATCGCTTCGCCCACCACGGTTGACAAGCCAGCGGGTAATCTGCCCTGCAGCCTGGATGACCAATAAGCTGCAGAATCCTTCCACCAGCTGGAAAACCGGGGTCGACCATCTCAGCAATTTATCCCAGTTCCCGATAGTCACTGATTCCACCAGCCCATCAGGCCCAAACAGCCACTCCTGGATCGACGAGTCGTGGGCTCTCTTGCCCGTAAAGGTCCGCTCCACCCAAGAGCCAGCATTATCGGTATCGATCGAGAAGCGGTTCAGCGACCAGATAAGCAGGATCGGAATAATGAGCCATTGCGTCGAGCTAATGACGACGATCAGGGAGGAGCGGAGCCATGACCGATCAGGCGTAGTGAGGCGCAGAAGCGAAAATAGGAAGTAGAAGGTGGCCAGGGACAAAGAATAGGCCAGACCGCATGTTTTCCCACCCACGTCAAAGGCGAGGGGAATGGAAGAGACGGTGACGGCCAGAAAGACGGCCGACGAAAGGGCGCGGAAGAGCCACATCGGACAATATGGCCCAGGGCTACTGGACAGACGCGCGCGAGAGAAGCAGACGAGGCACGGGGAGGGTCAAATATGCTGGAGGAGAGAGCGAGCAGGTACGGACGGACGCGGTGTCAAATTAGTAGGTTAGACAGCCTCCAAGATTTAATCTTGGGGTGGAAGCGCGAGAGAGTGACGAAATCCCGATTTAAGGATACATGAAGCCCGATTTCCCGAATTCTAGACTGGGTTTTGAGCTCGCTGGGCGATGCTAGCTGGGTCTATGAAGGAATAGAAAAATTCTCCCTCTTCTTTCCAGGCGATGTAAGATTTTGATCTTATCACTTAAGCGGGACGGAATATGATGATGGATGATGATGATGGGATGGGACTGGGCTTGAACTGGTTGTGGCACGTGCAAAAGATAAATAGTGTCAGACACGCCGACCGATCGCTGGACAGATTCGCTTTTTCTTTTTCTCGGGACAGAGCCACTGACAGAGGCGCAAAAGCTTAACAGCCGCAGCGACTCGGGATGGACAGAAAGTAGAGGCACAAAAACCAGGAAAGGGGCAATGAAGCCGGGGGGGGCGCAGACCGAGTTTAGGTGGGCAATTCGACGATAGTCGCAATAGTAATAATAATAATAATAATAACACCAAATCCACTCCACCCGTTTTAGCGTAGAACGGAAGGCGGTGGAGCTGGTCCAGATGCTTGGTCGGCTGCAAGTAGCGGTCAGAAGGGGAAAATACAAGTAGAAGTAGCAGGAAGAAAGAGATGATGCCCAAACTGGTGGAGATGGTTGAAGAAATGAATATCAACGGAAGGAAATCGAAGCTGGCTGAATGGATCCTTCAGGATAACTAACAAACATACAGCATACATACAGCATACAGTACGTAAATCCAGCTGATTACATACACGGACTTCCTCTTCAGGACTAGTTCTTCCCCTCTCTTTCACATGCTTCCGCTAAGCCCTTGCGATGAAAGCCCTAAAGAGCCGCCCGATGAAGTCAAGCGGCAGTTGCAAACTCGCCCAGGTCTTTTCCTCTTGTGGAAGGCGCTGTTCTTCCAGTCAACCAATCACAAATCACAGATACCAAACCGATCCCCAATCCAGACCCCTCATAGACTGGTTCTTTCTCCAAAAGGTAACTTACTGCTGTAGCCCTGTATTCCGATTACCTAGTACTTTACTTTCAACCATTTCTTGAACCTCTTTCATCTTCATCTTTCACTCTTCACTGCTTTTCTATTAGTATATGCTCCGCTGGCGTCGATTCTTCACCATGGCCGAAACTGCTGCGAAGAAAGTCAAGACCTCCTCTCCCTTGATTGGAACTCACAAGTGAGTACGCGCAGAAGCTTCTTCTCCGGCTTCCCCTCCATTCATAGATTTGCGATGTGCTGACTCTTCCTCTTTTCCCTGCGCAGTGGTCACTTCCACGCCGATGAGGCTCTTGCTGTTTATCTCCTCCGTCTTCTGCCCACATACTCCTCCTCTCCCCTCCTCCGGACCAGAGACCCCGCTCAATTAGCTACCTGCCACACCGTCGTCGACGTGGGCGGAGAGTACGATGCTGCCAGCAACCGCTATGATCATCACCAGCGCACTTTCGCAACCACTTTCCCCAACCACAACACCAAGCTCTCCTCCGCGGGGTTGGTGTACATGCACTTCGGTCGGGCCATCATCGCCCAGCACACCTCGTTGCCCGTGGACCATGAGGACGTGACTCTCCTGTACGAGAAGCTTTACACCGATTTCATTGAAGCCATTGATGCCAATGATAATGGTGTCTCTGTCTACGACCCCGCTGCTGTTTCCGCTGCCAACATCCAGAAGCGCTTCAAGGATGGCGGGATCACCATCACCTCCGTGGTGGGTGACATGAACAACCCGGACCCCACCTGCCCTCCCGGAGAGCCTCAGGACGAGGATAGTCTGTTCGCCAGAGCCAGCACATTCATTGGCAACGTCTTTGCTCGCAAGTTGCACCATGCCGTTTCCTCCTGGCTGCCTGCGCGGGCCACCGTAGGCGCTGCTTACCGTTCCCGTCGGGACGTTCACCCGTCCGGCCGGATCATCGTCCTGCCCCAGGGTGGTGTGCCCTGGAAGGAGCACCTCTACAACTTCGAGAAGGAAGCCTCTGGATCAGAGGAAACCAACCCTGATGAGGAGGCTTACTATGTTTTGTACCCCGAGAGTGCGGCAGAAGATTCGAAGTGGCGTGTGCAGTGCGTCTCTGTAAACGAGGGTAGCTTCGTGTCCCGCAAGCCTCTTCCCGAGGCGTGGCGGGGTGTCCGCGACGCCGATCTCGACGGTGTTATGGCCGCGGAGGCTGAGAAATCTGGAAAGCCCAAGGTTCCCGAGGGTGCCGTTTTCGTTCACGCCAGTGGCTTCATTGGTGGCCACCAGACCAAGGAGGGTGCTCTTGCCATGGCCACCCGTGGTCTGGAACAATAAGCTGCAAGTATAGGTGGCAGCTGCGGATGAATGCAAATTACGATAGAGTTTATGCGTACATACTTCTTATCATGACGGTACGGGATCCAGTTAGGAAAACTATCTAATAGTTATATTGTTGGCCAAAGTGCTATGTTGAGAAATCAATGCATAAGGCATCTTTCAATCGTAGCCTTTTTTTTACTGGCTTCTTCGTAATGAGACGTTAGATAGCGAGGGGAAGTCGCACTGATCACCTATGTCGCGTCTATTTCAACACTTGGCCGGGCAGGTTCCATTCGACTTTACTGATTCCTCCATTGCCCATCAGCCATAGCGTCTTCAGCTCCGGCCCCGTCCAGGCAAAATTCTGGACCGTGTAATTGGTTTGGATCGTCAAGAGCAGCTCTCCAGAAGGGTCAAGAACATCGACACCTCGACCACATCCCGTCAGAATGTACCCATTCGCTGCCACTTTCAGTCCATCTGGGACAAAGCCTGGTGCCAGATAAATGGCCCGTTTGTTATAAGCGTGGGCACCATCCTCACTCACGTCAAACGCATAGATAGTCCTATAGAAGGAGAAAATAGATGAGTTAGTCACCTTTCGGGTCTTCCGAGCATATCAAGTCCAGGTTTTACATACCGCCGATGCGTGGTATTAAACGTACTGCCCGGATGGCCATATTTGGGATCAATAGGAGCGCTGACGGCCGCAGTATCGCTGATGTATACAATAGATCCGTCTGGAGTGAAAGCGATCCCGTTGGGCTGACCGATTGAGTCGTCCACGACTACCACAGCCCCAGAAGAAGTGTTATATCTGTAACTGGCGCAGGGAAGCTGAGGAGGGGTGTCTGTGATATCGTTGAACCAGGAGTATTCTGTACATCGGGGTATATCAATTAGCGAATTCCACATGGCACATGGTAGGTGGTAAGAGCTTACGTGGATCTGTGAACCAGATATCGCCAGTCTTGGGATGCACGGCAATGTCGTCAATGGTGTTGAAGTAATATCCAAAGTAATTGTTGACCAGGCTCGTTGTTTTATTTGTCTCCGGATCTAAGGTTCTGAGGGAGATGCGTTGTTCAGTCCCGCCAATTGATTTGTTGCCGCCAGATGCGCCCCATATGATTTTGCCGTCATGGAACGTGCCGCCATTGGGGGCATAGACTGGTGGATCAGAGAGGTATTCGGATAATGTTGGGGGATCCTGGTTGAGATCGACAACCAGCTGCGGAAGATAGCCTGGCGGCGGCGCGAGCTGCGAGAGATACAGTTTGTTCTGCGATGCCACGTAGACGGGGGCTTCATGCACCGCATCGTTCACGGCAAAAACGTATTCGTAGCTCGGGTTCGATCCTAGGACATCGAGTCCTTTCTCTTTGTTATACACAATGAAATCCGCGGTCTTGACGTCTTGCAAGACGGTGCCGTTTGCTACGGTGGTATCACCGAAGGTCGTAACGGCGTCCATGGTGCTTACATTGCGAAAGAAGTGGTAGCTATTTTGAGCGTTAATGACTGCCCGGGCGTTCCAGCAGCTGGGGTTTACGAGGGACTCACGGAAGCACATTCGCATAGTGATTGACGCAGACAACCGAAGGGCCACAATCTTCTGAGATGGGATGGGTAACGCCAGTCTGGGCTTGGACGAGACTGCCCGTGAAAGATCCGAGTAACAGTAGGAGTAGTTTCATTGTGATTTGTAGGTTTATATATAAGTTCCGTCAAGTCGACGTTTCGAAGAGATCAAGGAAGGCCCAGATACAGCCTTTCATTTCGATCAACAGATCCCCGGGTGGGCTATACAGTAATATTTGTAGACCATCTATCGGAAGATGGCGCGGGTAATTGGCAAGAGGAAGGAGTAATCAACGGGATGATCCCGATTTTTATCCAAGCAAGTTTGATCCCAAGCATACATGGGGGGCTTGCCTCGGGGAGTTTTGAGGTCTTAGGGGCGATTGTTGGACGGATGCGGTAACTGGAAACCCTCCTCGTAGTGTGGGGTACAAACGAGTTTGGGGCACGATCATCGCCCCTCCGGGGACTTCTCCCCCAAGACAAGCCATTCTCAATATTGCGGAGCGGCTTAGTATGTCTCGGCAGTCTGGTTTCCGGATAAGTTCCCAGGCTTGCGGAAAATGAGCAAGCAGGTTCTGGTGACCTGTAAATCGGAGAACGTCCGAGGGGAGGGCCGAAGGAGATGCTGCAAAAGAAGCAGTGTGTCTGTTTACCCTCAAGCAGATCCTTGCCATTGAAAACGAAGAAAGCAAGTCATCCACTAATGCCGGATGTTCAGGGAACTAATGTCTTCAATGCTGCCAGTGCCATCGCCAGACACCGGGAGATCTTTGGCATCGGGATGTATATCCGAGTTGTCTTCCCTCTCGCCCATGGCACGCTGGATCAACTTGGCTTTAACAGCAGCGCCTTTCATGCGCTCATCTACATCATTCACCGCTTCCTCCGTGTTCACCATAGGCAGGGAAGCGGGGTCTACCAGTTCCAGAAGGATCTCAATGTTCTTGGCTAGCCTGGAGCTAGATGAAAGGCTCGACATTTCCTTGCAAATGGCGGGATCCAACAAGGAAGGTTCTTCCTGTTTGTGATCACTCTCCAGGGCTCCGTTGATCTGGCCATTGGACTCGGGGTTTCCCAACAGCTGCGAATCTGCGAGCCGTTGAGACCAGACCAGGGCTTTGCCATATAGTCTTCCCAGTTCGAGGAACTTCTCGAATCCTTTCTCGACCGCAAACACACTACCCTCTGTATACCCGGCTTGTGCACCATCCGCTGCACCCAGATCGTAGCCTTCTTGGTAGAATTCTTCCTCCAGGTCGAGCAGACTCTCAAGTAGGTTATTGTTCTCCATGATTGCGATTCAAGAAGGATAAAGAGATAGGGACGGGAGGGAAGGAATGAGAGATAAGACGGTAATAGAGTAGAGAACGCGACCGCGGTATCTAGTAATCTGCAATTAGTTGCAGCAGTGGAGTGGGGGGCAAAGGAATGGAACAGTAGGAGATGAAAAATGATATGAAAGGGAAGCGCCCAAAAAAAGTGCGGAGAGAAGCGGCCGAAAGCGATGAAGCGATGAATCATCCGCACCCGCGAAAAAGTTGCAACATTTCTACCCCTCCATCCCGCTGATAGTCCAATTCCCCGCCATCCGCCTCCAATTCCATCATGGCTTCCGACTCTAAGATCTTGCCCAAGAAGGGCCAGCGCAATATCCTGGTCACCAGTGCTTTGCCCTACGTCAACAACGTGCCTCACTTGGGTAACATTGTTGGTTCCGTTCTCAGTGCTGATGTCTTTGCCAGGTACCATCTATCCATCCTGCTTCCTTTGCCCCCCCTCCCCAATTGCTCCCTTTGTCTGGCTCCTTTTCCGCGGGCTCTCTCATTAATTCCATTCCCACAATGCTAACACCCACTTCTTCAGATTCCACAAGGCTTGCGGACATCAAACACTCTACATCTGTGGTACCGATGAGTATGGAACGGCAACCGAGACCAAGGCTTTGGAGGAGAAGGTGACTCCGGAGGAGCTGTGCGCCAAGTACAACAAGATCCACCAGCAGGTGTACGAATGGTTTGAGATTGGCTTCGATCACTTCGGACGCACCCCAACCCAGCAACACACCGAAATTTCCCAGGCCATCTTCAAGAAGCTCTACGAGAACGGCTATCTGACGGAGAAGACGGCGGAACAGCCCTTCTGTGAGACACATGGATCTTTCTTGGCGGATCGTTACGTGGAAGGTGAATGCCCCCGGTGCCACTACGACGATGCTCGTGGTGACCAGTGCGATAAGTGCGGTCACCTCTTGGATCCCTTCGATCTCATCAACCCCCGCTGCAAGCTTGATGGCGCCACTCCCGTCCGCCGCTCCACGAAACACATCCACCTTCTCCTCGACAAGCTCCAGCCTCAGATTGAAGAATGGTCTAAGAAAGCCATCGAAAAGGGCGACTGGCCTAAGAACTCGCGTGTCATCACCGAGTCTTGGTTGAAGGAAGGTCTGAAGGACCGCGGTATCACCAGAGACCTGAAGTGGGGTGTCCCGGTGCCTCTGGAGGGATTCGAGAGCAAGGTGCTTTATGTCTGGTTTGAGGCTTGCATCGGTTACCCCTCCATCACGGCCAACTATACCCCCGATTGGGAGCTCTGGTGGCGGAACCCGGAGGATGTCCAGCTGTATCAGTTCCTGGGCAAGGATAACGTTCCCTTCCACAGTGTCATCTTCCCCGGTTCTCAGCTGGGAACCAAGGAGAAGTGGACTATGCTTCACCACCTGAGCACCACGGAGTACCTGAACTACGAGGGTGGCAAGTTCAGCAAGTCTAGAGGTATTGGTGTCTTTGGTACCAGCGCCAAGGAGACGGGTGTGCCCCCGGATGTGTGGCGCTACTACCTCCTGAAGAACCGTCCCGAGACTGGTGATACCCAGTTCGAATGGCGCTCCTTCGTTGAGAGCAACAACAGCGAGCTGCTGGCTAAGCTGGGCAACCTTGTCAACCGTGTCATCAAGCTTGTTACGGCATCTTACGGCTCGGTCGTTCCCGAGTTCACTGTCCCCGAGAGTTTCCAGCCTACCTTGGACGAAGTCACGGCTACTCTCAGACAGTACGTTGAAGAGATGGAGGGTGCACACCTCCGCGCTGGTGTGGTGAGTGCGATGAAGTTGGCCGAAGCCGGAAACGGTCTGATCCAGGCCAACCGCCTTGATAACTCGTTGATTGCCAACGAGCCCGAGCGTGCTGCCGCGGTCGTCGGTACTGTGCTCAACTTGATCCATCTCCTGGCCAGCGTTTTCTCTCCCTACCTCCCCGCCACCTCCAAGGCTATCAACGAGCAGCTCGACGTGCCGTTCGGTCTGATCCCCTCTCTGGAGGACATCAAGGACGGCTGGAAGCCGACTGCCATCAAGCCGGGTCACAAAATTGGCAAGGCCAAGTACCTGTTCTCTCGTATCGACCCCAAGAAGGCCGACGAGTGGCGCGAGATGTTCGGTGGTTCCCAGGCCGACCGCCAGAAGAAGGAAGAGGAAGCGGCCAAGGCTGCGGCCAAGAAGGCTGCAAAGGATGCCGCTAAGGCCAAGAAGAAAGAGAAGAAGGCTAAGGCTGCTGAGGCCGCTGCCGCCGGCAGCAATGTTGAAGCCTCCGCCAAGGGAGGCGCCCAGGCTCTGGAGGTCACCACCGATAGCAAGACCGACGAGGCCGTCGAGAAGGTTGCCGATGGCGTGGCCCAAGTCACCATTCCCTCCTCCTAAATCACATAGAATTCCCAGCTCCCCAATCCCGTCAAAAGACTCGGAAGACAGCGTCTATAGAGTTGCAGCGACTAGCGGACTCCCTTGATATCCTGTGCTGATGATTAGAGCGTTTTTTTTCTCTCTTCCCACTTCCTTTCGTTTTCCGGCTTCGTCATCGTAGATCGTTGTTGATCTATGGCTACTTTTTCTTCCTCTTCTTCTCGTCTTGGGATACTGCGTTGCTACGTATGCAAAACATACTTTGTGAAAATGGAGTCGATATGAGATACGATGTTGGTGAAATGAGCGCAACGGTTGATGATTGACTGATTGATTGATTGATTGATTGATTGACGGATGGATGGATTCAGTAGTTTTTTTCGGTTTTGGATGTCTTGCTTTGGCTTCACGTTGTTATCATCCTGCTTAGTTTCAGTTCAACAAAACTCGACAATTCAACATGGGTTCCAATACAATCCCAATCCCGTCTTTTTTATGCCAGGGTCTTGCTGTGGGCTCTACCCCCCAATGTTCCCAATTCAGTTACATAGATCGAAGGGTATCCCTTGTCGCCAGCAGCTACAGTAGAATTCCTTCCATTTCAGACAAGGGGACCCCGGATAGACAACAGGATTAACCTGAATAAATCGCTCATATGCATTCCCAGAGAGTAATAGTAGTAATAACAAAAAGAGTACATGATACGGGGAGATGAAACAAAAGGAAATAAAAGAGAAAAAAGCATGACGAGCCAATCCATGTATAACCGAAGCATGATACTCCAGATGTATGAGCCCCGCCAAAAGTCCATTTGAAATCGAAAGGTTTGGCCTCCACGACGCCTCCATGTGCAGATCCCTTCCAACTACATAGCCTTCTCCCAGACTACTCCATTACCTCTTCCGATTGTTTGGTCTAGGCTTCACTTCTTCTTGGCTGACAGGGTGCAGCATGACCTTGTTGGGCAGCTGCTGGTTGTTGGCGGAGTAGCCCTTGCTCCAATCGTAACTGACGGCATAGGCGAAGATGTTGCCGTTGCGGTTGAAGGCGGTGCTGGAGATGGTACCGCCCACGGAGGGATATCCCTTTAGACGGTGCTTGGCGTCCTTATCCCAGAAGTGGAAGGTACCGTCACTGCCGGCGGTGCTGAAGGTGCCGTGGACGGGGTGGAAGGAGATGGCGTTGACGGAGTAGATGTTGTTGACATCACGCTGAGGAGTCTCACGGTGGCACTTGAAACTGAAGTTGTTGGAGGAGTCCTTGTCCTCAACATACTGGATCGCACAGCGGCCCTCGACACTGCCGACGGCGAAGCCAGTGGCAGTCGAGAAGCAGCTGACTACTCGCGTCTGCCACTTGAGGGGAGACTGCATGGTCTTGTAGAACTTGGTGGGGTTTTCGAGGTTGATGACGTTGATGTAGCGGTCTGCGGTGCCGACCACTAGAAGTTTGTCCTTGACATCCATGGTGTAAACACGCTCCTGGCACTCCACCGTGGCAATAGGGTTCGACTGTCGCAGGTCCCAGTACTTGATGGTCTTATCCCAAGAGCCGGTCACAAGTAGCGGGGTTCCTCCGGCCGGGTTTGGGATCATGTGGCAGCATTTGATGGGCGCATCGTGAGCGGCGACTTGAGTGGTCGCATTGGTCGCAAGGTCGAGCATACGAGCGGCTTTGTCGGCGCCAGCTCCGACGACTTTCGTACCATCCTAGGTAGCAACAGAGTCCAGATCAGCTAACTGTAGACACTGCGACAAGGGAATGAGGGTGAGCTCACCGGCGACCAGCAACAGCTCAGAACGGGGGCCTCGTGCTCGAACAGAGCTTTACCTTCGCTCTGGCCCTGCTCATTGATCTCGTAAATGCGAACCTTCTTGTCCCATGAAGCGACAGCTAGGTGCTCACTAGCCGGAGAGAAGCGGAGGTCCGAGATACTGTCCTCGGGAGGTTGGTTCAGGGCAACATCCTTGGAGATATCACCTGTGGTGTTGGTCTGACCAGCTGAGGTCGTCGCGGCGCCGACGGAACCGAAAAGCGACATTAGGGCGGCGAAGTGTTACACTGTATTGACCGATTAGGCGATAAGCTGTACTATCAGGGACATTGAGGGGATCCACAACGCGAGACGAACCAGGAAAAAGCAGACGTGACTGGAAGCGGGAGGAGAGGCAGCAAGACCTGGGTGGTGGTGTTGTACCCAAGCGGTCGCGGAAGAGAGGCGCAACCGGCCAAATTGACCGAAGAGCGTGAAGCTTGGATGTTTCGAAAGGCGCACTAGATTGACAGCCCGAGCAGCATTCACTAATTGCACGAAAAGGAATGGGATGAAGATGGATTAGATTGTATGGAAGCTCGCTCATCCAAATGGGCAATAATTAATCGAATATCTTCTTCGCGGCTTTCCCTTCACCGCCTTCAAACAAGACAAACTGCTGAGTCAGCGGGGGAGAGCTTCCCTCTCACCTTTCCGTCCTGGGTAATCACTCTGTAGTACATAGTCACTACCTACTAATAGTACCAAGTAGTGGGTAGGACAGTGGGATTATCTCTACTACTGTCTATAGTGAGATGCCCTTTGTTCACTCCCAGGACCATCTGCATATTCAACAGCAATTCGACAAGTCCTTCGCTTTGATTCTTTTCTGCTATACCAATGAAGAAGTTACAACATTTAGTCTCCACATATTTGGGATTGCTGAACTATATACTAGATATGAGAAATACAGGCCACTCAACAACATAACTTGCCAACAACCTAGTACTAATCCCCTGGCTGCTCGGTTGAAACCTCAGCTCTTTGCAGACTGGTTGAATTGGCTCGACACTGGCACCCCATAACGATCAATGTCAACAGAATGGACTCTGGCTACGAGCATGGGAGGAAGAGAGGCGGGGGGAAAGCTAGACCTGCAACGGGTCGCCACCCACTATCGTTGACTGATGCTGGTAGTTGTGTTGCAGGCAATATGGAAATGCAGCGTGGACCCCCGTTATGATTCGTAGGACCCCGCCCAAGCCTGCACGGTCAAAATGTTGGATGGCCAATAACCTGCAATCCACCACCTTATGATCGCCGATTGCTGTAGCCCCGTCACGGGTGCCAGTTTCACTTTCGAAGGTACCTACCTACCTTGTCTACGTAGTAGACAGGCTACAGCCTACAGGGGGGACATCACACCACTGGTCCAGTCCCGGGGCCTGGACAGGCACACCCATCAAGACTCCTCTCAAACCTCGAGCTTGTCTAGTCTCGGCCAGGGCTGGTATCCCTTCATTCGATGCCCTCGCGATTTGGATGTCAAAGAACCTCACGTGCCACGGGGGGGGGATGACAGACCTTACATGAGCGGACGTTTACAGTTCAACCTGTACCACGGAAGGCATCTGCCGATTGTCTGGCACAATGAAAGGAAAAAGGGCGCCATGAGGTCATGCATTTCACTCATCTTTCCGTCTGGGGTTGATCCGCTGTAAGCCAGTTGGTGGTTACGAGAAAGGTGACGCATTTTCGATCTTCATTACGGCTGCTGGCTTTATGGGGAGGGGGTGTCGTATGCCACTACGAGTACAACGACTATACTACTTACTACCTGGAGACCGCTCCACAAAAGATACCGCAGGTAGGTGCAGGGAGAAGGAAAAAGGAAATCATTGGGGCCAGACGGGAGAGCGACCGAAGGAGAGAAAATAAAGTACGGCGAAAGAAGCAGACCAAGTGGAGCGGGCGGGAATGCGGGGTGCAGCCTTAGTGGACCGTCGCCCGGAAGCTCTCGACGTCAGGCTTGCTCGTGTGATCCGGTTGCCCCGGGTGCATCATTCATTGAATTACTTATCTACTCACTTGGAGGATTTTATCTGACACCTTAAGGATTTAATACTAGATGTCTCATTAATGAAAATGGAGAGGGGGTTATGGGTGTGTGTGTGTGTGTGTGTGTGTGTGTGTGTGGGAGGGAGTGGTGGTACTTTGAAACCACCATCCATCAGGTGATGGTCCGGATGTAGATATGCATCGTCCGGTGCGGAGATCCTAACAGCATCATCCTCCTCCTCGTCCCATCATTCCACCCTGCCTGCATTTCATTCTCTCTTCCTCTTCCTCTCGCCATCCAGGCTTCCTCCCCTGTTCACTGTGGGAACATACGATCCAGGTTGATTGCTTGGGGCCCGCTTCTATTCATCATTTGAGCCATTCAGTCACCATCATAATCCCTGTAGCCGTGCAGTAGTTTGCAATTGAACTTTTTAAGTACACCCGTGCTGTAGAATACTTCCTTCAATGTCCTCCCTTGGTCCAATGCATCCCATGCCTGTATGTATGTATGTATGTATGTATGTATATATAAATGTACGTACGTATCTATCTACATCATGTATGAACGGTATGGATGGATATAAGAGTAGGCAGTCAAGAGGGAATAATGGGGATGTATCAGGTAAGGACCACGATGGTATGGTATACGTCAGGTAACTTAGTAGTTAGTAGTAACTGACAGAGACACATCCCAAAGTAGCAAGTGAGAGCAAAGTGAACCGCTCCTTCCCTCTTCTTCTTGTTCTCCCCATTTCTGGGTTGGCCCATCCATGTCACCTGCCCTTCCCCTTCCTCCCTTTTCTTCCCTTCTTCTTCCTCTTCTTCTCCTCCTCTCCTTTCCCTTTCCTTCTTCCTTTTCTTTCTTTCTTCTCTCTACTATCTTGTTGGATCCTACTGACTTGATTCTCTCCCTCCCATTCCATACTACTTACTGTTCACACTACTTACTGTCCATACTATTTCCCCCTCACTTACTGGTAAGTTCAGCCTCCTATCTAAGAGTAGCACTAGAATGCTCGAGTAGTTGTTCCACGTCACCACTCGGGTCCTTCCCTCCTCTGCCACTGGAGTGTCCTCAGTGGCCAAAGGAACATTATCCATCCCCTTAATAGTACACACAACTAACAAGCTATTCTGTATACCAGTGCTCCTACTAAGAGACTCACTGCTTCCTGTTACCATACTCCGCAGTCATGTCTGAACCACTCACCAAGATTGACTCGGCCATCGAGATATCGCCCAAGGATGAGAAGGTCCACGATAAGGATGCCAAGAAGACTCACAGACGTACCTCTTCCCATGCTGAGGGTGTCTACAACATCAAGGAACTTGGTGCGTTCTTTCTTTCCACAGTCGCTCTAAAATAGCACAGAGCATCGCGGTCCTGAGGTTCTCTCCTGCTAACCCCTCGTCGATTTGTAGAGGAGAAGAAGATCGAGATTACCCTTCCAATTGAAACCCAGAAGACTGGATGGTATGCTTGTTGCTATATATATACATCTGCATAAGACGTGAGACTAATCGGGGTAAACAGGAAATTGAACACCTCACCATCGACCATTGAGGACAAGGACATCCTAAAACTTCATCTGATTAACCCCCCGGTCAAGAAGATCGATCTGCACTTCCCACTAGGGCTCGAAGTCACCGCTCGCAATATGAAGGGCGTCACGATAAAGGATGCGCTGGACGCAATCTACAAGCAGTTCAAGAAGAAGGTAAGTAGCCCAAGATGATGATCCATCAGATGTCTCCCATTCCCTCCAATAATACTGACTTCCATCCGCTCTAGGCCGACGATGAGTTGGACAAGCCTTACCTCGCTGGTTTCGAGTGGGACAAGGACGAGTGCTGGACACGCCTCATTGTTCACCAGACCAAGCAGGGCCCTCCTCAACAGCCCAGCAAGAAGTCCAAGAAGAAGAAGGCTGAAGAGGCATAGACTGCGGTTGCTTCGGACAGGCTGTGCCCATTTTACAATGTCTTCTCTTTTATCTCTCTTTCAATGGCTACTTCCACCATACTTTGTGATACTTTGTCCTCTTCGTGCCCTTGGCCTCGCTGGAACAGCATCCGGGAGAGTCGGGGCAGGAGCTAGGCGAGAGGATGATAATCCCTGTAATCTGCCTTTGTTGTCTTTTCACTCCAACTCTCTGCTTTCATTTCTCGTCCGAGGATGGCCTCGCTGTTCTCTGGCCGAGTTGACTCACTGAGCACCGGACGATCTTGTATCTTCGAGCTCCAGTCCTTCATTCAGATTCAATGTGGAGACACAGGAATATTTAGTTGACCTTCTGGATAACTGACGTAGAATTTACTGCCTAGTGCGGTTCTAGTAAACGGGCTAACTCGGTAGGCTCAGGCACCAACGATCATGATGGGTCGGCGTCCCACCCTTATCAGCATGTGATTATCAGACATAATGTGCATCGGCCTCACTCGTCCGCCGCACCTGCAACAGCTACATTATATAGAGTATCGGCAAAACACGATGAAGAATAGCACAGGCGCTAAAGTGCAGAAGAACAAATGCTAGAAAAGCACATCAATGCAACGCCCGCTAATAACAATACAGCCCGGCGATAGAGATAGCAGAAAGACAACACAGAAACAGACTGAAGAGAGAAAGAAAAAGCAAGATTAGTATCATACACATTAGCATGAAGTCATCAACGTATTCGTCCCGCGTCCCCCCGCACCAAATAAAACTAAAACGACCTCATCGAGAATAGTAAAGAAGAGATGCGCATTCAACCGTCGATTATTCAAAGTCGCAAAGATCCTGCGCGCCGCGGCCTGCGCATTCGCTCGTCCGACCACATTGCCCGCTAGATCGGGGATCAACGTAGCCAGGACTAGACTCGCTTCAGTGCGACTCTTCAGTCGCTCCGATGCAGTGCGGACGCGGCTCTGGCGAAGCACACCGCCCGGCCACATGGTATCCTTGATGAGGGTGATGTAGCGCAGAAGCGAGTCGTCCTGGACAAGGGAGCGTGCTCCTTCGCGAACTTTGCGCTCGATCGTACCCCCTAACAATTGGTGGAGGACGACGACCACGGCACGCCCGCGCAGCCAGTTATTTCCCTTGTTCAGCTCGAAAGCTTCCAGGAATAAATCACAGATGGGTTTGATGAAGGGCTCAAGCTCGCGGTCTTCGAAGGCGTTTAGTTCGGCTTCCGCTTCGGCGGCGGTGACGGCGTCCTCGGTGGCAAGGCCAGTGTCACCGGGAGATACTGTGGTGGAAGTGGTGGATTGTTGGTTTGTAGCGGCTGAGATGAGGCTTTGTCCGGCTGTGGAAAGTTGATCTAATACGCCAAAGTTGCCTAGGAAGTCGTCCATGCCATCGGCGACGGAGTTGTAGATTCGAGTGACTAGGTCTTTGGTCTCTCCGTTGGTGGTGGAGCTTTGGTTCTCGTTGCGGGGGATGATGGCTCGTTGGGAGAGGAAGGCTCGTAAGTCTCGACTCCGGCATACTTCAGGGAGAAGGAGGAGTTTCTGTAGATATGCTTCTAGAGCTAGGCGTCGCTTCTGGAGGAATTCTTTCTGGAGCTTGAGAACGACACGTCGACGTGGGAACTCCAGGTGACGGACGGACGGGTATCTCATGCGTAGCTTCTGATGGAGTTCATGAAATTCGCTGTATCTGCGGGCCACGGCCCAGGAGGCGGCGGGCATTTGCTCACCAGCGTTACGTTGCACTTCGACCACATCTAGAAGATATGTTAGTAAATCTGGACAGCAAGTAGCTTCCGTTACAGACGGAGGCAGGGTAGTAAGGAACGTACACATAGCGAACTCTCGACCATCTTCCTCCTTTCCAACTACAATTGATTTGATACGGACGGTCGATCGGCCATACAGACTGTTGTCACTTTCTTGGATGATATACTGCTGTCGTTGCATCTCTTTGCGGTGAATCTCGCGTTGGATGCTCGCTTTGGATTTGCGCAGAATCCTCAACTCCGCGGTGTTGTTGGTAAGTTCAGCTTTGCGAGTAAGCGTGTCTACCACTGACTCTTGAGATCCGAGCTTATCGATATCTGCGGTGAGCGCCTCAATGGCCTCCGTCAAGCCGAGATCCCCAGGAGCCGCCTCATGGACTTGATCGGCCGGATCTGTATCTGTTCCCATCGGCTCCTCATATTCGTCTTCAATATACTTCTGCTGTTCAGGAAAGAGATCGTCATCGAAGACCCCCTGGCGTGAAGAACGATCCACGAGGCCTAATGAGGCAATGCTCGGCTTGATACGATCCTCTGTCCGACTATCTACCCGAGGGATATCCATTGAGCTGCGCGGCGACCTGGGGAAAGGGTCACTAGCGGGCAATGCAGACGGGGTCACATCGGCGTTCTTCAGATCTTCAATTCGAGTATTCTTGGGCTCGCTCGCGATGATGTCGTTTAACGCTGCCTCCATGTTCTCGATGACTTGGTTTTGGTTCGCCTCGGTTTCGCCATTTTGTGAGTCTTTCCCTAGGCTTTGTGTCGACATTGCCAGTGGATCTGTATCGTAGTCATCGTCAAACAGCGGTGCAGATCGCTCGGAATCGAATGAGCGCCTCGAAGACTCATCGTCATCAAACAGTTTGCCCATGCTTCGAACATCGCTCGAAGAAACCGCCGCTCGTCGCAAATCTTTGGGCCTGGCGCCAGTTTGTGATGAGGTGCGAGACATCAGAGGAGGTAGAGGCCGCCTTTCGGGCACTTCAGCAATGTTCGGAGAGCTCTGTTGGGGGGACTGCGGGCCCGCTTGGGATGCTTCATCCGAGGCAAGGTATTTATAGTAGAGATCTGACTGCTTGAACTTCGGGTAGTAGATTTCCTGAAGCTTATCGAGCACCGCGGATTGAGTGCTCAAAATGACCGTCCGAGCTTTTCGATACTGCTCCGAGGTGGCCCGCTTCCCTGCGCTCAGGAACGCCTTCACCACCCGACGGGACTCATCCGATACTTTTAACTCCGGTTTTGAGAGATACGTCTCGCTGATCAGAGCCATGTCACTTCGGTCCGCTGGGGTCCAGCTTGTGGAGGTCGGAGAGCCTTCGTCTCCGAAATCATCCTCCAGAGGATTGCGGAAACCGTCGACCACGATCCAGAATTGAACTAGAGACATGAGCTGCTGACGGTCCATAAACTCCATGAAGTAAGAGAGACCCGACGCATCATGCATGACATCCACTAAGGAGGCTTCCTGAGGAATAGAATTCTTACGGCGAAAGTGGGATACAGCCGCGGAGGCGTGCGACATCTGAGTGCCTCCGGGGGCAGACAGCTTAGCTACTTTTTGGTCCAAGACCCTCTTACCGGTCTCCAGTCGTCGGAGGTAAACTTGGTCCTGTCCTTCCACCATAGTCTCCCGCTTCAGTTGGCTTGCCACCAAGGCTCTGAAGCGTCTGGCGTCCGAAAGATTGTTACAGCGCCGGATGGCCCGGACAAATCGCTCGAAGGCGCGCTCTGAATCGTGAGGACTAAGTCGAGGAAAAGGGTGACCCCTTTTCGACCGGGGAGCCGGGGATGCATGCTCGTCCAGGGCCGCCCTGAGTTTCCGGACAGTCTTACGGTCCTGAATCGCGGTGCGGCCATAGGCCTCCATCAGCTGGTTCCATGTGTCCGGATCAGAGAGGACGGAAACGAGAGGGAAGAGCACAGCGCAGGCTACAATCTCACGAATCAAGACGGAAACAATGCGACTATTGAGGACGGACTCCGGGAACAGTTGGGGCAGGAGCCCGACGGCAATTTTGCGGAGGTACTCCTGTTCCAGTAACTTTTGGTCGGAAAGAGACAGCATCGCCGCCGGGTGTAAGTTCCCCTCGCGATACTTGCTCGCGATGGCAATGTCCAACTCTTCCGACTCCGTGACATTCCTGGTAAGATTCCTTCCCCGGACCAAGCGCTCAGCCACCTCAAACTCCTTCAGATGGGATGTCAGAACGGGGAAAATCCGGGACACTACGAGAGAGACAAGGTCTTCCGTCAGGAGCCTATCGCGCAGGTTTCCAATGGCTGTCCGAATCGTATGATCCACCTCGTTGACGAACGTGGGGTTGGGACTGATATGCTGGTACCATGATGCGATGAAATCCCGCGTGGCGAAGGATAGGAGCTCGTCAATGCCTTCCGAGACGATGAAGGATTGTGGGTAAAGTGAATGTGGATTATAGGTTGAACGGCATTTGAATGCCTGGGTTTCTTGATCCCAGTGGTGGCGGGCGAGGAATGCGACGCGGGGGTTCGTGGGCGAAGGTGAAGAAGCAACAGCGTCATTGGGGGAGCGGATGGTGAGAAGCACGAGAGCGAACAACACGGCGGAGGAAAGAAAAGCACCGAGCACCAGAGCATAACCCAGATATCTCAGTAAGGGGAGCCATTTGACGGCGAGACCCCAGGCTATAAAGGCACCAATGCCCAGGAGGACATAATCGCGATGCTTCAGGGCCATTCTCCCTGGAGCGGATGCGCTGCCATGCCGGTCAGGCAAGGAAAGCCGAGAGGGAGCCGAAGCAAGACATGATGGAGAAAAGAGAGTAAGGACTGCAGGTTAGAGAAGAAGTTGAAAGATTCAGAACAAGAGCTACAAAAGTAAGAGGAAGAAGGATGGATTGGATCAGGCGGTGAGTGTGGAGAGACTAGTAGTAGTTGCGTCACTCAGGTACTAGATAACTAACTCCTTCCTTCAGAAAAGGGAAGGTCTGCAGCTGGGGTTTATTTATGATAATGCGATAGATGTAAATGGTAGTAGTGTAAGTTACAGAAGATTATACTATCATCATCAAATGAGGAGAGAACAACTTTGAATTGTGGTACTATACTAGTACATGGTAATTCTGCCTGAGGCCTTGTCTCGTAAGTTGTAACTTGTAAGATCCCGTGCGTCTTTTTCAAGACGTCATGCCGTTTCGGGAATGTTTTCTTCTCTCCACTTCTGCTGCTTGCTACTTCTTCTTCTTCTTCTTCTTCTTCTTGTCCTTCTTCTCTCTGCTTTCCCTTCCCTTCTTCCTTTCCCTCTTCACTTTCTTCTCTCCTCCATTCCTTGTCCCCTTCTTCTTTCCTTATACCTCATCTCCCCATCTTCTAACCTCCCTTCCTCATGGCTTCCTTGTCCAACTTTATCGACTTCTCCCAGCCGTCCCTCCAATGTACGTGGAGCTTTCCCCGGCTAATCCCCTCTCTTCCCTCCCCGCATGTGATTGTAACTGTTTTTCTCTCTCTCAAACAGGGGCCGCGCTGTCAATCGCCTTTAACCCTATTTTCTGGAAGTAAGTACTCTGCCATTATTACATTCTTTCCATTGCTAAACATTATTCTATCCAGCATTGTCGCCCGTGCTGGTTGGTCCCATCTCCCACTCCAATAACATTCACCCCAATCCTACGAGGAATCCAGCTCTGGCAGCTTCTGCCTTGGCTCTACCTTCCCCACGTCCACCTCTTTCCTCCATTCATCTTTCAGTATAAGAGGCTTATGACAAATTTCCTCGGTCATCGCAATTTGTAGAGTATCGGAGTCACTTCTTGACTCGTATATTCGGTAATGCCTACTACGGCTGCTACTTCCTTGCCGTCACCATCTTCAGTCTGGGAATTCTGCGAGATCATGTCTACCAAGTGGCCCTGGAAGACCAACCTTACTATGCCCCTGTGCACCAACCCGTCCTCGGCGGCCTTCTCTTCGCCTTCGGCTCCGTCCTCGTCCTGTCCAGCATGTATGCCCTCGGTGTCACCGGCACCTACCTTGGCGACTACTTCGGTATCCTGATGGATGCGCCTGTCACCGGCTTCCCCTTCAACGTCACTGGTTCCCCCATGTACTGGGGCAGTACCCTGAACTTTTTGGGCGTTGCTCTCTACAAGGGCAAGGTGGCGGGCGTCTTCCTGACGGCCGAGGTCTTCATCCTGTACTGGTTCGCTCTCCAGTGGGAGGAGTAAGTATCCCATCTATCTTTTCTATATTGGCCCACTATGCACCATGGACTTGCCTATACACTTTTTTTTTTCGCAACCAAAGCCCATATGCACATGTGTCTCAAGCCCCAACGCAAAATGAGATTTTATTCCCCATGCACGGAATTGGTAAAACCCACTGACCCGGGCCTGGTAGTCCCTTCACGGCGGAAATCTACGCCAAGCGGGAACGCGAGCGTGCCAAATCCAAGCGCGGCGGCAAGAGCTTGTAAGCCGAGACTTCACGGGAATCTATGTCCAGGGGTCTGGATTACCGCCCATTTGCCTCCCGCCAGTGGAGCTTGGACCTTTCGACATCATTCCAGTCTCGCCAGTCCCTGAGTGGAAACACAGAGCTCGCCAAGCTACTGTTCTGAGTCTACACGGGGCTGCAAATCATGGTCGGCTAGGCAGTCTGGTTGTGTCCAGTGAGAAGTGGAAGGAAGGGGTGGAGAGTTAGAACGAGAGCGAGAGCATGGGGCAGGATAGGGGAGGCAATAGCAATAACAACTGGCTACGTATAGCCACTGAGAAGGAACGAAAGAAAAATGAAAGTGGGGTTACATTGAGATGCTCAGATAGAACGGAGAAGAAAAATCACTACAACATTGACCTACCACATGGCAGTCTCCTACTCTCAAGTAAAGATAAACAGGAACAACGGGTATCATTTGCTACGCTTGTGTGCTTTCGCCATGATCATCAACTATCATAAAATCACACCATACTCCCTCCAGGGATGGTAAATGAAAGCACCTGTTTCGCTATCCATATTCCCGTCAAGGGAAAAGAGAGGGGGGGGGGGGGGGGGGGGGGAAAGACCATCTCACTCACACCAATTTTCTGTGGTAGCCAAATATGAGACACCTGGTTCACCGTCCCAAAACGCCGCCAACTCCACGCTATGGGTCTTTGGAAAGCGCAAGTGGTATGAACGTGCAGACGGCAAGAGCTGCGTCGGAGAGACATCAAAAGCCAAAATGCCTGTCGACAGCAACAAGGATCCAGCCTATGCCCGTCGACCTCGGCCTCTCTTGGTCGACGTCCGGCTCTCCTCCACCGGTTCGATTTCATCCTCATCAGCACCCTTCTTGAGGTCTTCTCCTTCGGCAAGGCCCCATTTCTCCCGATCATACCAGTCTTCTCCATCGCTCATCTCGCCCACGTGCCCCTCCGCTTTGCACCACTCGAGCACATCCTCTTTCATCCGATTGGCCCGGAGCAGAGACTCCAGCATATGCTCAAATCCACGAACGGTCTCCTCCTGCTTCTGTACATAAGACCAAAGCAGTCGACGTGTCTCTTCCGCTTCGTTGGGCGGGAGGCCGAAGTTCGAATCTGGCCGAACAGAGTCCGGTATAAGGAAAAGAGGATGGGGTGTCGGAAGACTCCCTAATGTGTCGTCAGAAGGGGACGGGGAGAGGGGTCCAGATTCGCCCTCCTGTGGGTTCGCTGCATTAGCCTGTGCCCGGGTCGTCATGCGCCGAGGTGGCTCGGGAGATGATCCATCTTGCATTTCTGCATCTGCATCTGCATCCGCATCCGTCCCGTCTACCTGTGCATCGTCTTGAAATTCGGGATCAGGCTGCGCATTGCCCTGGATTGTGGCACCTTCGCGCTCCATGCCATCCTTGTCTGAAGTGCCATCCGAGTTCGTCACTTTATCCCCATTAGACTTTGCGTTTGCCGTGAGGCTTCCATTGACTTGTATGGCTTGGTTGATGGTCTCTGAATGATGAGGAAGGTCGCCAACTGGGGTATCAACTTCTTCTGATTTCGGCTCTCGGGGTTGTTCAAGCGCATTTGTGACGGTTTCTTTGTGCGTCGTCTCCTGGTCGTGAATATCGGTCATCTCAACGTCCTTAACTGCGGCAGTCTTGTCCTGAGCATTCTCGTTCTGGGGAGGCTGAGGCGACTTTGATTCACCTGCACCCACGGACGCGCCTTGCACACTGCTTTTCTGAGCCGAAGGCCCTGGCACCAAAGGACTTGCAGCCCCGTTATGTCTGTATTGACTCCCAGGTGAGCTACGTGTCGTATGGGCTATCCGGGGCTCAAAGATCCATCTGTCTTCAGGCGTCTCCACTGCACCAGACGGCATCCAAGAACTGTCTCCCAAAAACTGCCGGTGTAGATTCCTGGCCCGCCAAAGCAGTGCTCTTTCTTGACGGAGTTTGGCTTCGATTGCCTGCGTCATGTGCAGCAGCGCCTTTGACGTATAAGCGTGCGATAGGGAAGGATGGGTAGGGAGCTCGGACGGGTGTTTTAGAGGGCAAAGGAAGTCTAAAATTCAATTGTGGTGCTTGATTAGCAAGAAAATTTGAAAAGGCGTCGAGATGGAACAGAAGGCCTCACTTTCAAGCGCAATTTCCGAAAATGGATTTTCTGCCGCCGCAGCGGCATCAGCTTCGGAATCTTCGTCATCCTCGTCCAACTCATCACCTTCTGAATCATAGCGCACGGGATTAGGCTGGAGGATATAACGCGTGTATCCAGCATGTTCAATTTTCTGTAGAGAGATAAGTTTCCCTAATCGTCAGCGTGCCTTCCTTATCATCATCACCCTGATCGACTAATGCCGCCATGAAAGAGAGATCTTTCGATGGCCGCGGGGGTGGAACTAACCTGTTTATAGAGCTCCTCCGGATGTATGTAACCCAAAGCACCTTCTCGGACAAAGTTCGAGTTTGTATGTAGTTTATTACCCCGATTTGTTGGTTGTGTGATCGGATCGTCGGGTCCAGAGTCTAAACAAGAGCGAACGGTTAGAGGGAAAAGATAGAGCCAGCGGGGAGAGTAGAGTGAAGGACGCACAGTCATTCTCCTTGCGGAGGGCTCTCTTCATGCCAACAATGGTGTCGGCAATCAGAGCTGCCTGCGCCGCCATGGCCGGAATTGTAGTGGAGGTACTACTACAGCAGAGGCAGCCAGAGTGATGGCGACAGCAGCCGAACGAACGAGAACGGGTTTCCCAAAATGGATAGGGCAAATACGGAGTTCTATGGGACGTAATCGACAAGAAGAAAGCCCAGCACAATGCAGCATGCGAATTGGTATAGGGGAGAGCAGGTGATGGGAAGAAGAAGGCGAAGAAGCGAGGGGAAGAGACGGAAGAACGAAGTTGAGGTGGAAGACTGGCAGTCCGGGCAGGGAAGGAACGAACGGGCGCAAGTTGCAACTCCGGATTGGGGAGGAGCTGCGGGCGTCGCTCCGATCGCCGCCGCTAGTCCTCTTTTGGTAGCGCGTGATAAGGGCTCGACACGTGAGCAAGAGCGGTAGTTACTATCTTGATAATCGATAAATAGATAGCTACTCTAAACTATGTTGCACTAATTGAAAGGATAACGAGTACATCTACTGGGTATCTGTCTATAGCACTTGATCTATGATCTCAATTCAATTGAAAATGGTCCAGATCTAAACCCGACACGCTACATACAAACTGTTTTCCATGACCCTCGCCGCACCCTTTAATCGTCGGCATCAACCCAGACTAAGATTCCTTTCTTATCCGACCGCATGTCTTCCGTCGGTAGCACCCGCAGAGTCTTGTTAAAATATGTGTCGACTACCAGGAGCTGCGGCTGGATCCACAGACCTCGTTTCGATGCCAGCAAGTTGTACCGGACCGTGTGTCTGCTCAAAGGCACCAACTGCACGACCATCGTCTTCGGTCCGCTGAACGCAAAGTTCTCACTTGCTTCCATGCTCAGGTTGAAAGTAAGGAAGTGCATGGACGGGTTCTCTAGAGTGTAATCAAGATGGATCAACCCCGAAAGTGTATCAGACGCCTTAGCTGAGGCGACCACCCGAGGCTCACCTGCTGGCATAACGAATCGGGGGATATCAAGCGTGGTCGTGGTGATTGTCGATCCGTCGTTCAGCGCACCGTCGTCTGTTGCACTGCGCCTCCAGCGAATCTCTAGGGCGAGGTTTAAGGCTGTAGGTCTGCGGTCACCCAAGATTTCCTTCTGAAGGTCCATGATGAAGTTAGATTCTCGAAGCTCCTCCGGACGGATCTCCGCCACCTCAGGACTGATAATTTCCTCCGACCCAATGTGACAGGTGGCAGCGCCGCCCAGTCCAAGCAACACTAATGACATTTTTTCGACAACCAGGGGCTCCACAGCAAAAGAGACGACCTTGGAGTTGAGACACCATCTCTGCTGCAAACCTCCGGGCTTGACTTCATCCCCCTTTGGAAGTAACTCGTCATCCACAGTGAAGAAGTCCGGCCAGGGTTGAGGATGAAGGCGTGGAAGGAATTCATAATTGGCCTCGAATGGCCTGATAATTGATAGGCCAACACGCATGCTCGCGATGATAGGTGTCTGGACATCAGAGACAAGGTTGTAGAGCGCAGAGACTTCAAGCTCATAATCCAAAGCATCGTTGGTATCCGTAACCACAATCGTTAGTTCTTGATGAGATGAGCGTTCCATCACCCCTATCGGTCGCTTCAGGTGGTGAGAATTGCCTTCTGTCGGAGTACTCTCCCCAGACCCGTGCATCTTCGAGGAATTCTCCTCATCTAGCCACCGTATCTTAGCCGTGGACTCCGGCCTGCCAAAAAGTCTAGTCTCAACAGAAACATCTGCAGCCTCTTCTTCCTCGTTGTCGACACCTACTCGGAGAATTATTTCCTCATTCGTATAATATGTTTCTCGAAGGTTCAGCAGCTCTACCCGTATCTTTGGTGGTTTGGGTAGTATCTTACAACGGCCCGTATCGCGGCCTTTGCCCACGCGCCGTCTGCTTGGGCCCTTGGACGTTTGCTGCCACCAATAGGACTCATATGGAGTCAAATCGGTTATCGCGTTGGTAAGATCAAATTTTTCTTCCTCGACGGTCAATGTTATGGATGCGACACGGGACTCCCCGGCTTCTCTGGGAATGCATGTAATATCGTATACCTTAGTCTGGGAAGGTCCAAATGTCAGGTCTGCTAGCCCAGTCAAAGCAGTCAATCCGCTCGTAGGTGATTGCAAAGCTGCCGGGTCTTCAGCCGTACTGGGGTCACGTAGCAATGGCGAAGTTATTGTGCAGGGTGTAGCCGTATCGGCGTCCACGTTGCGATCAGACTGAAGCCGTATTGGCCGCAGGCAACCCTCAAACACTACCTTCACTTCGGAGAATGTGAGAGGGCTCGATGAGGGCTGGGCACAGGAAGTGATGATAAGCTGGCCCTTAGACGGCTCGCCGACATTTCCTTCGGAACTTTGAAAGACGAAAGACGCGGTGACTAGAGCCCGGTGAAATCATCAGTGAGATTTTTAAGTGGTTATGGGATGCTTCTGTGATCACTTACCGCTGGGCACGATGTCCTCTGCGCGCAGGACCACCGATGGCTTGGGATTTACTAAAGGAAAGTCCTCGAGACTATTATGGAGATCATATATCCAGTCGGGCCGCGGTTGGAACACTGAAAGAATAATATGATGTTAGACAGGTGACTAGTGAAGGCAAGCGAAGCTGCGATGCCAAAACAGTGCAGGACGATTTAGTAATAGAATAAGCTCACCCTTATGTCGGAGTTCCCAGTCAACGTGCAGGACCATATCGCTATCGCTCACGCGTACGGCACATTCCCTTAGGGCCCAGCCAAACCTTTGCATGAGCGGCCACCAGCCCGAACGTCGCCAAGACAAAGTCGACCACAGCGGTCGAAGGATTTCGTAAGCCTCCGGCCATGAGCTTAGGCGCATATATTCTTCTGCAATCTCCAGGCTAATGCTCTCCGCTTTCCGGTTTTGGTCTCTCTTCGAGAACTCTTCGAGTGCCGCTTTCAAGGCATCTAATCTTAACAGTGCGTGGTTGAAACCGACCGCCCCCGGCTGGGGTGCTTCAACATGTGGCTCAGGTACCAGATAGGTGTCGTATAGATAAGACTTATTGGCTATCTGGGACGCGGGAGATTGTCCCGGTGGTATCCGATCGTCTTCTGGAATCTGCTCCGCCAAGGTTCGACGGTACATGGTATACTGCGCCGCTCGATAGAGCCAATAACCCTCATGATGAAGCTGTTCCCACGGAAGATATGCATCCGAAGGGGAAACCGTTTTGTCGCGTGGTACGAAAATTGAGTACTGCTCTTGGAACTGATCCTGGGGGATGCCGACGGAGGTGAAGTAAGGGAGGTTGGCTTGGCGAATGAGCTGGGCCATTACCATCGACCACCTAGCTTCCCAGGCTGCCCAGCCATAACTCTTGGTGCCTTTTCCGCGCCGGTCGATGATATCTTTTGAACGATTCCGGTGGCTAGTCCAGAACCGCACAGCAGGTGTTGTCTGTCCCGTCATCAACAAGCCGCGAATGATACGTATGGCCAATGCATCCCCCAGAAGTCGTGCATCATTGAACCTAGGATTCCAGCCAGCAATATATTCGAACACCTCTTGACCAAATAGGGTCTCGTATGCGCTTTCATAGTTCCGAAGCGCGGCATCGATTTCTTGGCGGAATTCCGCAAAGATACCCAGCTTGAATTCATATCGAACAGTCCATCCTTGAGACGATAAGGTCTGGGACGTCCCACTTGTTGGTGGCGCTGTTGGCGGGGGGATGGTGCCTCGATTTCGTTTGCGCCTGGCGTGCTTCGATAGGTCGCGGTAGTATTCCATCACCGATGGCTGGAGTAGAGACAACAGGGACGTGGCGAATTCCTTCAATTCCACTGGCGTCGCATCGGACGGAAGGAGAAATATAGACTTTTGATCCAGATTCGTTGCCCTCCGAATGCTAGCCATCCTGTCCTCCGTATCCCCAGCATAGCTGCCCGTGCTCTCTTCTGACAAGAGAACAACGATAAATCGAGATTTGTATCCAGAAGAGGCCCATTCCTTCTTCAATCCATTTATTTCTATCTTGAGTTGGTTGTCGCGCAGCGAGCTCATATTAGGATCGAAGCAGAAGGGGAAGAAATTGATCACTGCCGCAGGGACAAGGTCCTGGTGTTTAGTGACCCATAGATGGCTAAGCAGGCCATCTGGAAACGTCGGCGAGCTTGGTGTAAGTGGGGATATGGGAGAATGAAGGTTGAAGGAGGATCCACGCGATATCTCATCGTCTTGTCCGGCCGTCGGGCTCGTGGGCGATACGGGTGGGGGGTCAGCTTTGCGCGGGGGGAGACTGTAGGACTAAAAGAAGAAGTCAGCGGCGTGAACGCGGGCCTTGCGGCAATGGTAGTAGAATTGCCAAATGAGAAGTAGCAAAGGAAGCTTGCGCGTGGTACGAAATCTCGCCCTGTAAGTAAGTGCGGGCGGGCTAGCTGTTTGTCTCCGAAGTGCAGGTGCAACGAGGAAGGGGGTAATGCTTGCTTCGACAGCCAAGGTGTATCAACCTACCCGTCCAACGCTTCTGATTTTGTACTCAATTCTGGATGAAGATGCATGTGCATCCTCACTAGTATCCCACGGGGCACGGAAAGCGTTTTCCTCGAGAAGTACACGCCGCAATTCCTCCGCAACTGAGCCGGTCAGAGGCGGGAAATCCGAGTATATCTTCACGCCCCTCTCTCGGAGGAGGGGATAATCAGCTCGCACGCATTGCAGATCATCGTCGGAGCTTGCTTCAAGACCGGAGAGCAAAACGAAGGGGAGGTTGTGGGCAACATAATCTTCCGGATAGGCGTCCATTGCGGACACAAGCTGCTGGGTGGTGCTCTCGGTCACCGCATGTCTGGTCAGGCCGAGGGGTCTTTTCAACGGCCACCACGGAGTGATGACTAGTCCGGAAAAGGCTTGAAGGATGGTTGTGTTGATAAGACGTTGTCTTCGGTCCCTCGCACGCTGTAGAGCTATAGTTAGTTCCTGCACACTTTTGCCGTCGCAGAACTTCCTACCGCATCAACATTGGTGTTGGGGAGACAAATTGATGGTCCGTTCGGTTACCATCGCCGAAACAACGCCAAGCCAGGCTGTATCTGTCAGGCATCAAGTCTGCATCGATCATGGAAATTTCAGTATACTGAACACCATGCATTTATTTTCCAGATGAGAGAAGCATTAAATGAGACCTGTTGGCGTGTATTATATTATTGCCTAATGTGGATGCGTGAGCTTTTTATCATGTGCAAAACCACTGTACTACTACTAATATATTTTATCTAAGGTACTACTTGGCTACTAGCCAAGATATATAATCAG